CACACAGAACGCAGCATGGCCCTGCAGCAGCACGCCGACAGGCTCCTGCTGGATCTTGCTTTTGTCGTTTGGAAATCTGCTTGCGAGACAAGCCGACTACAGCATCGATTGGACAAGACTGGCTTAACTGCAAACGTCGCTGTGACTGATCTTGTGACTCATCATTCACATGCTGCACGTCTTGCGGCGATGGGTAGCATCTTCGCCGGTTGGTCGTTGTTCACACGTCTGCAGCGTCAACGTGAACGATGCTCTCGCAACATCGACAAGCAGTACAGGCAGGGGAAAGCTGACATGCTTGGCTGGTGCCTCTTCGCATGGCGGCAAGTATCCTTCTGCGGGCAGTGCAGAGCAAAACTGCAAGTCTGCAGCGCAAGGCGATGGGATGCACTTCTGTCTAGCCGATGCTTCTACTTGTGGATGCAAGCCGTGCAACGGATGCACGTGAGCCAAGGTCTTGTCGAGAATGGTTCAAGTTCAAGGGCAGGGTGCCAGCAGACGGCAGAGAGCTGTGCAGATTCATTTATTGACTTGCACGTGAGAGAGCCAAGAGCACTTCATCCACTGATACATGATGCCATCCGATATGCTTTTTTGGCATGGAAGTCAGAGCACCTGCAAGCAAACCTTCTGGCAGTCCAAGCTTCTGAAGCTGCAAGGCCGGTTGCATTTCAGAGATCATGCAGGCTAGTTCACTTGGCCCTGCATGCCTGGTGGCATCTGCGACTCAAGCAACGCACAGAGAGCTCACATGTAGAGTCGCTTGCGACCTTGTTGTCCAGGGCCATGATGGAACAGTACTTCCGGAAATGGCTCCTGTACTCGTTCCATCCATCGAAGCTTCTACCGTGGGTGCGTATCGTGCTCTCCCTCGCAGAGGTGAAGTTTATGTGCAGGACCAGCTCCGATTTGCAAGGGGACCAAGCCCAAGCCATCTCTTTGCCAAAGGAAGTGGCCGGATCGGAACAAGTCCCTGCAGCGCAAGCTGAGGAAATTACAGATGAGGAGGAGCAGCCGGAAGAAGAACAGTTGCCAGCAGTGTATCAGCCGATAATGACCCCTGCGAACGGGCCATTGGCTGGCCACTGTACAAGGTGTAGCACGTCCTCATCAAATTTGGATAGTGTGCAGAGGTCCGATGATGCTACTTTGATGACGCCTGCAGCCTTGCTACCTGGACAAGGGCGGAGATTGGATGATTTGTTTCCCAGGCCAGCCATCTCAAGCGTGGAAGATCTCCACAGACGCTTATATGTGGAGCAAGCATCGCTGGTGCGGCGAGTTTTCCACAGGCTGACGTTCAACAGCATGTTTGGATCTGGCAGTCATTCATGTGCATCCGTACTCTGCTGGATCTTAAGCAAGCTAAGACAACCAAGCTCTTATGACAAGTCAAGTCCCGCTCCCTTGCAGGTGGTGGGACATGTCCCTGGCAGGTCAGCTGCGATTGGTGGAGCTGAGGGCTCCGCTGGTGGAAAGGCAGGTGTTGGGGGCTCTGGTGTTTTCTAATCCGTGCGGTCCTCTCGCTTAGGGGCAAGTGTCTGCTTGGTATTTAGACTGCCGGCAGCATGCCATCCACGACGAATACAGTGCTTCCCGGCTAGCCGAACTGTTAAACTCAAGTCACGAGGGGCCAGCAGAGGCACAAGCCTAAGAAACTTTTGGGATGACGGCTCAATTGCACAAATTTGCACTCTTCAGCCCTTCCTTGGCCTTCAAGTGCCCAGGTAAGGGCTTCACGGAACAAGTGGTCTTGAAGTTTCTGGGTCATGTAGGTTCATTGAAGCCAATATTGTGGAACGAGAAGCAATGGACCGCCTTGTGTCCAAAGTACATATAATGTACCCAATGCCACGCCGGGCTTGAATCTATCATTCAGGCAACGTGCGGCTTCCTCCGCGCTTCTGAGGCCGAATCACGAGGGCTTGACAGAAGCTTCAATTCCTGGGAGTGTTTGACGGAAGGCCCGAGCGGGCTGCCTGCTTGGCCTATGACTCAATGCCACTGTTCCATTTCTGGGATCAGTTGAATCGATGTGCTGCTGAAGGCCCGGCTTCTTCATGAAGCTGAGACTGCAGCATTGGATGCAGTCAAGGTCGGTCTCTCAGCCTGCAGCATCTCTTGACACCATTCGGTACAGCACATACAGTACTAGGGCCACAGGGGGTCTGCAGATTTCTGGTATGTTGTTCGGGACGGTGGCTGAGCAGACAACCTGCGCGACCTGTCCATTCGATCCTGTCGGTAGGTTGTTGCACGTTACAGCGACCGTTTCTCCATCTGTCAATTCAGGTTCCGGTAAGTCATGCTCACAAAGAGAACATGCTTGAAAATGACATCGCGCCGACGCCTGCCAAGGACACTTGCAAAGTGTTGTGACGAGTTTTCTCATCAAGAGTCGGTATCGCTCCTTCTGCGGCAGGCGAAGGATGATGCACGCAGGCGTGGAGTGTGCTTGCATTAATTTTTCAAAGTACGGACGAAGACGCTTTCCCGGCCTCGAAGGTGGGGCGATGAGACGTGGCTTCTCGTTGAGTTCTCAGCCTTGGACATGCCTCTTCCTGCTTCCCTTGACATTGGTCCAGAGGCCAAAGCGCGGCAACCTGCAGTTCCTGTACAACTACGCTGGGGTCTGAAGGCGAGGTGTCGTCACACAGAAGTTCTTGAGTGACTGATTGCATCCTGCCTCTGTCAGGGGACAAAGGAGCCCGTTGCTCCAGCTTCTGGGACAAAGGAGCCCATTACTGCAACTTCTGGGACAAAGGAGCCCGTTACGCGAGCTGCCCTACTGGCAGCTAGCGCCACATGAGAATGCACTACGGCGGCTGCAAGGCGATGTGAAGCCTGGGCAGTGATCTTCTTTGCAGTGGTGCCCAAAGCTACTCATTCCGCCTGAGCTTCGTCTGCATTGCGCGGTGTAAAATCACTGATGCAAGCGTGTTCTTTCCCTGTGTCAGCGCCGGCAGCCTTGGACCGGCTTATAGGGCAGCACAGTGTTTAGGGTATTTATTGCTGTGATGCAAATTTCTGGATGCACTGCCAGACTATAAAGTAGGCGTCAAGATCCTCGAAAGCAACGATGCTGGCGTGTGACTCGTGGTGTTTATGGAAAGACGGACAGATCCTTTCAGTGAAACCCATTCAGCAACAACGGAGCATTGCAAGCGGTCTGCGCCTGAGAGAGCCCATCATCTGTGCTGCGCTTGTCCTTTCTCTCAAGTGTAAACGTCTCAATGAAGCAAACGCCGCGCTAGTGGCGACGAAGCTTACGCTCCACCGGTGGCATGGGTTCCCGTGGCAAACTCCTTTTCATTCTCTCTTGCGCCTGGTCAGATGCTTCTTGGCAGGAAGTCGAAGAATAACGATTTCTGACATCTTCCCATGCCCAAGGTCTGACTTGCACAGTACATGCCCAGAAGTCTTAGGTCGTTTGGTCCTACAAACTTTCCAACGTTCCTCTCAACACGACCGGTCCCAATGCTGGCAACGTGTCGGAGACGGAACAGAAAGTGAACGACCTTCTGTTTGAGACACTGGATGGTGACATGAAGGACAATCCTTTCTTTTCGGGTTTAGAGTTTAGGGTTTCCTTTCCTGAGCTTGCAAGGATCCCCTGAAATCGCATTCAGATTTTCTTCGATTCTGATGCATAGTTTCAACAACTTCCGGCACTTTCTGGAGGATTTCAAGCAGTTGCCCGACCTGGAGAAGAAGGGTGAGGGCATGGGCACGCTGGGTAAGAGCTTGGAGTTCTTGATGCTCAAAGTCGCCCAGTTAGAGACCCTTGCGGAGTTGCAACAGGTAGAGCTCGGGAATCAGCGTGTTCTCATCAAAAAGATGCATGAGAAGATGGATTTTGATGAAGCGGAGGTCTCCATGGCACAGCAAGGTTCCGAAGAGAGGGTGCAAGAAGCCCATGCTGTCCTGAAGCGGGTGATCCAGAAACACGCACGCCAGCGGGAGGACAGAAAATACCATCCCGAGGCCCAGAGGGCGCCGAGTGAAGCCAAAGAGGCGGAGCCCGAGGAAGAACAGGAGGAGGGTCCAGGGGCCCTGCTCCAAAAGCAGGAAGACGGCTTTAATCCAATTGGATGGGTTTCCGATGTTGCCAGTGCTGCCGTCGACAGGTGAGGGATGTTGAAATACTAAATCAGAGTGTCGACTGTTTGAGAACTTAAGGCTTGGACCCGTAACTTCCACAAGCCCTTAACACCATGGTCAAGCCACTTAGGGCAAGGTGAGAACTCACTTTTTATTGAAAGCAGACTCCCTGAGTTTGGACGGCACCGGGCTCACCGGCAACGCTTTGACAGATGCCTACAAAGAGGTCAAAAAACAAGGGACGGGGAAGGCCCTCGAGTTTGTGCGGAACACCGACATATCCACTGTGGAGATGGCCGTTGCGATCTTGACCGCAGGCGGGGTGGAGGGTGTGTAGTAGTGACTTAGTGAGTTTAGTGTTCGGAGTTTGGGTGTTGATGAGGTGCTTTGGCTCTGAAGGCTGATGCGTTTGGGGCATGGACATTCCCTGATTTACGGGAGGCTTCGACGATTGGAGTGCTGATTGCGACAATGTTGCTCCGCAACTTGGTCTTAGCGGTGACGCGCTCTACATAGACTTTGGGCACAACGCCTGCGAGATCTCACTCATGGGCCAGCGAACCAAGCTTTTTGATTGGAACTGGGGAAGGCAAGAAGTACCTCTGCCTATCTTGGACATGCTGCCAGAGCCTGCTAGGACAGTCTTCAAGACCCTTGCCCAAGCTGGGATCGCCAACATCAACGTGCAGATCACCATGGCCACCGGGGTGTCGGACTGCAGCAATGGCGACCAACCTTTGGCCCTCATCGAGTGCCTCGGCCACAAGATCATCACACAGGTGCCCCCTTTCAATTACCTGAACCGCATGAGCGACATCCTCACTGAGGCTGTGGGCGGTTTCGGGACGGGGTTAACAGCACGATGTGGGATAGTTGATGTGTTCGTGAGGTCATCGAGGTCTTTGCCAAGATAGCAGGGACGGTTGTGGAGAAGGCCATGGAGAAAGGCTCCTCCCTCGTGCAGACGGCTACTACATCGAAGTTCCCTGCCGCCGGAGAGCCGCGTGTGCAGCACCACAAGGGCACGAATCTGGTCATCGAGTCGCACACTCAGCATGTGCGGGCTGAGTTGGCCGCCGTGCAAACAAACTTGGCCCGAAATGCGGAGACAGGAGATCCCCCTCCTGGTGGTGCCGTCGCCTACGGCCTGGGCGATGGCAAAGACGTGCATACCACGCGGCTCATCACCCAGTTCGACGGTAGGGAGACGGACACCAGCTCTTGCCTTGCCTTTGCACCGAAGAGCCGGAGTGCCGGCAGCGGAGTGAGCAAAGGCGATTGGCAGGTAGGGAACCAAGGCGATTTCCTCCAGCTCGAACCGTGGGCTGTGCCGTGCGACAACGCCTGGATGAAAGACAACTGCAGCAAGTGGCAAGGCTATTCGTTCTACAGTGGGCAGCTTGCCATCGAGAAGTGTGTGACTGTGACTTTCAGTCTGGGGATGCAGCCTGTCGTGGCCTTCGTCGGGGGTTTGCAGTTCGAGATCTTGCCGAAGCCGCTGTTCCAGCTCGGCACGACGGTGTGCTGGCCGAACCATCAGCCGGGAGGCGTTGACTTGAGCCTGCTACGATCCGAGGTGCGGTCTGCAGGTGTCCTGCTCTTCAGCCGCACCCTGCGCCTTACGAAGCGCTTCGGTGCCGGCCCGGATTTCCTCCGCTCGAATATCCGCGGTGGTTACTCGACCTTTCGGAAATCTCTTGGCATCGACAAAGTTAAAGGCGAGAGCCGCTGGCCGATGGACTCCATCAGCCGCGAGGCTTCGCTCTTGGAGACCCGCGGGACCGGCGGGACCCGCGGCGGGAGCCGCGGCGGGACCCGCGGGACCGCTAATCAGAGCCAGGGCGAGGCAGAGGCGGAGGTGGAGCTCTCGGAGGAGGAGGTGGCGGCCGAAGCTTTCCAGTGGAGGACCCAGTCGGAAGACTTCTACTTGGCATCCCTTGACATCTCCGTCAACAAGACCTTCGAGGCCTACGGCGAGGACGCTGCCAGGCACGTGGGGGCAGGGAAGGAGTCCTTCGAGCTCTTCAGCTTCAAGAACCCGGGACTGGTGGACTTCAAGGTCCAAGGTCTTATGGCTGGCAATGTCCTGGAGATGGGAATCGAGTTGGGCTTCGGACCTTACAGGAGTCCTGCAAGGAAGATTCCTCTGGTCGATATCGCCGACCAATTCTCCATTATTCTCGCGGGCATGCCTTTCGTGTCAACTCGAAGCAAGGTCAAGGCCATCGCCGCACTCCGCGACTTCTCCGTGAATGGGCAAGGCAAACGGCTTCCCCATGAAGCCAGGCTCTGTCATTGCCCTGTACAGCCCTCACTGCCACCGCTTCCTCAACATGAACGGAGGAGACGGAGAGGGCGGCTTGGGGCTCACCCCCCAAATGAATGGCAACGGAGTCGCCGATTCCTGGACTTGGGAACGCTTCACTGTCGTGGACGCCGGGAAGGGGCAGATCGCGCTCCACAACAGGCATCATAACCGCTTCCTCGGCACAGGTCACGTCAGGGCACATCGGAATGCTGATGACTTGCCCAGCGAGTGGACTTCCGAGCGCTTTACAGTGGTGGAGCTCGGAGACGGCGAGGTGGCTTTCCACAACACTGCCTCAAACAGATTCCTGAACATGCGCGCCGAAGGTGTGGGAAGGAGCAACCATCCGCCAAAGCCTCCTCAACTACCATCCAACTGGGGCTGGGAGCGCTTCCGCATCTTGCCAGCAGAGCGGATCTTGGTTCCAGGCTCCTCGATAGCCTTGCACAGCCCGCGCTGGAACCGCTTCGTTGTGATGACAAACGGAGCGTTAGAGCGAAGTGTCGAAAAGGACGTGACAGACTTCCCCGAGGAGTGGACGTGGGAGCGCTTCACCGTGGTCGACGCAGGGGGTGGACAGATCGCCTTGCACAACACCTTTCAGAACCGCTTCGTCGGGGTGGGTGGTACAAGCGCTCACAGGTTGGTGGACCAACTTCCCAGTGACTGGACCTTCGAGAAGTTCGATGTGTGGCCTGCTGGGAACGGCGAGGTTGTCCTTCACAACACGGCCCACAACCAGATGCTTCGCATGTCAGATCACACCGTCGACGCAAGCGTGCACATGGATCCGAAGCACCTGCCTGACAATTGGAGCATGGAGCGATTTCAGGTGGTTCAGGTGAAGCCGTATCTTCAGCCGGGTACAACGGTGGCCCTCCGTTGTGCCGTTCACGGCCGCTTCGTCAAGATGTATCCAGGTGCACCCAGCGCCCTTCTGTTGGCGATGGAGAACAAGACTCAACACGACACAGTCGCACTCTCATCTTTCGGGCCCACAAACATGATCAAAGAGATCACCGACGGCGCATGGGAGCATTGGCAAGAGGAGCGAGACGCGGAGCGGGCTGCAAGAGAAGCGGCTTGGGTACGTGAAGCAGCGGAGGAGCAAGCTCGCTGGGAAGCTGAGCAGCAAGAGGCAGCGCGGCAGGCAGCTCAGCGGCAATTTGAGGAGCAAGAGGCCGCGCGACGGGCTGCTGAGGAGGCTGCCCGTAAGGCGGCGCTCCTCGGCACCATAGGCCGCAGCGTGGAGATGGGCGAGCACGACATGCCAGACTGGTGGACTTGGGAGCGGTTCACAGTTGTGGATGCCGGCAATGGGCAGGTAGCTTTCCACAACAGCCTCCACAACAGATTCCTGAAGATGAACGGAGACCGAATGCAAAGCAGCGCCCCCCAGGCTCCAGATGCTTTGCCGGCTGGATGGTCCTGGGAACGGTTCACGGTGTTGCCCGCCGGGCACGGTCAGTTCATGTTACACAACTCCGTGCACAACCGCGTGGTTCAAATGACGAACGATAATGTGGCTGCAAGTCCGCACATGAACCCGCAGGACATGCCTGGTGAGTGGACGTGGGAGCGTTTCCAGATTGTGCCCGTAAAGCCCTACTTGCAGCCAGGTACCGTGGTGGCCCTGCATTGCGGTCATCACAACCGCTACATCACGATGAAGGGGGCTTCTCTCGAGCGCAGCGCGGAGAGGGGAGCCAACGGCTTGCCTGCCAACTGGAACCTGGAGCGCTTCACAGTGGTGGACGCTGGGAATGGTCAGATCGCTTTGCACAACGCCCAGAACAATCGGTTCGTGCAGATGAGGGCCATGGGAGCCATGGGAGCCAGCCCTCCCAGAGCTGCAACTGACTTTCCGAAAGCCTGGACTTGGGAGCGCTTCACTGTTGTGCCTGCCGGGCACGGGGAGTTTGCGTTCCACAACACCTATCACAACCGCATGATTGCCATGTCGGACAGCACCATTGCCGGAAGCAAAGTAGTGGCACCACAGGACTTGACATCTGAATGGACATGGGAGCGCTTTCGCATCGTGCAAGTTTCCGAGGCCAGCGAGAAGGCCCAGGACGTACGTGCGACTTTCGACTGAGCCGCACAGCACTGCTCCCATCAATGCAGCAAGAGACCCTTTGCGAAAAGAACAGGGTCGAGGACTGCTTCCGAGGCGATTGAGTTTTGTTCTTCGGATGATGAATATGATTTCTGAGTCGATCTTCACACGGCTACTGTGTATTCTCGCTATTCAAGCATCCCGAAGCTGCTGCCTGCATGCATCTCGTCGAGACACGGTGGACGAGTAGCTGACGGAGTCGGGGAAACTCAAATCAATACTAATCATTGATACTATTACTACTAGAATTGCTATATGTGCCATAAATTGCCATAATTTTCACTACTTAACTATCATTGCCATAACAAATTATTTCTCTAAGCCTGCCATGTCGGACGGCCGAACTGACATGGTCCACGATTCCTCGGATTCCTCAAGCAGCTTTCAGTGCGAAGCACCTCTCAGAGTACAGTGCCGCAGTCCCCGAGACAGCAGCCTCTTTGTAGCTGAGAGACCTGCTGTTTTTGCACGAAGGGCAAACTAGCACAAAGATTAACCAAGCATTGTTATTCGTAGGGCATGACTGCTTGCTGGTGCATGCTTAAGATGACGGCACCTTCATCGTTCGGTGAGCTCATGACACAGCTCGCTTCTCGCTTGTGCGATGGAAGCCTTCTGCGCTCCACAAACTTGCCTTGCAGGAGTGGGACAGTTCTTGCTTCGCAAGTATGGTCAGCATGCCTGTGTGCGATCACAGATCCTTGCTTTCTGCAGGCTCCTTGGTACATCGTGGGTCCGCATATGGATGGCGACAGTATCCGGTTCAGCGGGAGCGGCTGCCAAAGACACGCAGGCGAGGCTGTTCTTAATTACATCTAATCAGTGCCGTCCGCGTCGTATTGGCCACATAGTCCTTCGTCGAGCGGTGATGGTGTTGTTTCATGACATGCCGATGGTACCTGTGCTGAACTTTGTGTGGAAGACCCGGTATTTTCCGTTTCATGCACCAAAAGTGTTGTTTTCAAAACGAGGTTGATGCAGTTGTGCTCCTGTCCCTGCCAGGTTCCCCCGCAGCGGGCGTGGTGCTCAGGTTTTCTGTGCGCTCTGCGCAGCCGGTCGGCTTGGTGATGCTCCACCCTTACCTCGACGGCGTGGCCCAAAGGCAGGAAGCGCTAGTTTGCTTTTGGACTGCAGCCCAGACTCAGTCTAATCTCGGACGCAGTCGGGCTATTGAACACATCGGCCACTTGTCATATTCATGTTGGTAGCGCAGCAACTGTAGTCACCCTTTGCTTGCGTGGCTGTATTCACATGGAATATACGATTGCGGACCATCTTTTGAGGCACAGGTCGTAGTTTATTTCACGTTCAGCTTTTGTGCGTCGGTCTGTACCTTATGTTGCGGCGCAGACTAACCCCGTGATGTCAACTCTTTCTGGGTCCACCATGATCCAGCATTCCTTCTGAGAGCACATCAGTGTGAACATTGGCCAGGGCCCACGGCAGAAGCGTCAGATCCAGAAGCAGGAGGCGGGCGGAGTGATAGAGTTGTTCGATAGCCAAGGCAAAGGACGACACAGGCTGTCAGTAACGACCTATGACCTATGACCGGTGAATCCCGTCATGCAGCGATATGCAGTGTGCACATTCATCAAGTGTCGGTGGCCGTCATTGAATTATGATCAACATGTACCGTGCTGCAGCCCGAAAGCAAGGAGGATGCGACTGCGGCAAGTGCTCGTGCCCGCTTCGAAGAACGCCGGCGGCAGTGGGTGTTGAACTCGATCGCAGATGGTGGAATGTGTTTACATGTTGGCTGCAGTGCTTCACGTATTTTTTGCATGCACATTGCAGTGTTACCAGCATCCAGGCAAAGATGCGGAGGGATGGTCGACTCGACATGGAGTCGTCCGTGACCGAGCAGGACGCTTCTGGAGAGATGCGACATACGGCTTCTCGTGTGTTTTAAGCATGTGAAGGCGGTGCTGGAGAAGCGCCAGCAAAAGAAGCAAAAAGACGCCAATGATCGCACTAAGGCTCCGCATCTGTTGTGTCGGTGACATTCTCGGTTGTTTGCCATCTTGATGAGTGTGTTCACGAGGTTGAGCTGCAGCGGCTGAGAGCTGAGGGCAAGCAGCAGGACCTGGCGGAAGCCTTAGTGTAGAAGACTCTGTGGCTCAAGCCACGCACCGCCGTCATCTTCAGGTCGAGCTTCTGCCGACGTTGGGGGGAGATCCATGGCAATACGGCGTCTGGAGCCGAGTACCGCTCCTTGCATTCAGTATCTAAGCTGGCTTTGTGTCGCGTGTCGACATTCCGGTTTCCCGTCCTGTAGGTGGAATGCTTACTGTCCCTGGGCGCTCTGAAGTCGGTTGCGGCAATCGTTCGAGATGACAGGCTCAGCTCCGTCGTATCACCATGGCACCCATGGGACAGACATCGCATCATCGCGGAGTTGCTGTGTTTCTCGCACGTGTTTCGCAGCCAGATTGGATTAAGACAGTTGCGCTATTACGCCGTTTGGTTTGTTGCAGCTCAGGAAGAAAGGCTCGTAAGCAATTAGTCGGACATGAGCAACTTGACAACTCCACTTCATTGAATGTGATAGAGATCTTCAAAGAGCCTTGGCCCCTTGGCCTGGCAGAATGCGGTCCTTCAAAAGAGGTGCGCTTGGGCTTGGGGCTTCAGGATGGGGACGAAGCTTTCGGCCTGTCTATCGTGACAGGTACTGCGTTCCCGATCCTTCGGCTTGCCTGCCTGTTGGCCGTGGTCCTGGCGAAGCATGTAGAGAAGGACGGTTCTTCGACGGTTCTTCGGCACCTGGTCATTCAGATGGCGTGATGCCAGCGTTTCTTCTCAGGACACCGTCGCGGCGACTGCCAAAGAAGCAGAAGTCGCACATCCGGAGCTGTGCTTAAGCTTTGTCCATCAGGGCGTGAAAGAGTTCTTTTGTTGAAATTAAACGGTGCTAAGAAGTAGGCTGTGTTACAGGAGAAGGCGGCTCCAGAAGCTGAGTCGCCAAAATCCGAGGCGCTACCGCTGGGCTCCGGTCGACTCTAGGCGAATCCTAGGACATCAGATGGGTTCCCGAATCATGAGGTAAAGGAATCCGAAGAGGGTGAGCTCGGAGCCGAAGAAGGAGAGCTTGGGGGAGAAGAGGAAGTCGAGGAGGAGGCAAAGACGGTTCGGTTTTTTGGACGCTCCGTTGAAACACTGCCTTTCTGAGCATGCTCAGGCCACATCCGTCGATGTGACTGGGGCCGTGTTCTTGCTGGGGGGCGTGACTTTCGTCATGTCCCTGTTTTACTTAGTGTGGCTCGTCGCTGTTCGGGCTAGGTCCAGCCACTTTATCTAGCTGGTTTGCAGCATGCTTGTCCTGGGCGTCACAGAATAAGGCATGCAACACTTAGAACTCTTGCATATCCACCTGTTGTGTGGAGTACGTTGCTGAAGCCGAGGAACCATGATGACATCGACATCCGAATGCACACCTGGAAGGTCTAGCCAAGCATGTTTGACGTGCAAGTTGTGCTGTATGTTGCATGCACACCCGATTTCTCAATGTAAGGATGTTCGTTTGGAAGCTTGCCACACAGATGCACTTGTGCTGCGCAGGTCATCAACGCCACTGTTTCAATCTTTGTGGCCGTTTTACTCTTTCAGGCACGATCTGCGTCCGAGGTCGTTACAGGTCAGTGGACGATTGTTTCAGGGGATGATAGCTTTGGGACATGCATCAAAGCATTGCACTGGCATGCTGACAGGGGCTCGCCGGAGTGTCAGACATGATCTGCGACCGGGTCATTGAGAGTCACGTGAAGAGAGAGTTCACCAAGATTAGTGACATTGGCAGCATTGTGTTCAAGCTTGTTTCATTTTTGTGCTTGCCAACCGATTCGCTTTCTGCTAGCATCTCGCACTTCACGAGGCATCGCGTACATGACATTTGCCATCTTCTACAGCCGCCCGCCTTGACTGAGCTCATCCCGCCCCTTCGCTGGAGTTGGGCCATCCAGCGAACCGAGGCTCTTTGCATCTGATTCTGTACAACATAGCCCACATGCTTGGCCCTTGGTTTGTGCGATGCAACCCTTGCATCACAGCTAGATGTGCTCTGGGAGCTCAGGACGGATGAAACTTCATCGAAGAAGTCTCAGGAAGTCGCTTGGATCTTTGAAGTATCACTGCAAGCTTGTTCTCGCAGAATGTATGCTATAATGCCTGCTGAAGATGGACCCCCAAGGATAGCTTTGCACAAGCTAATGCATGGTTGCCTGTAGCGTGCTGCGTTTATCTTGGTGATGTGTTTGCCGGTCCTGATCCATGACCTCCACCTCCGCTAGCAGATGCGCTGCCGAGGCAACATTTTGGAGCCGTGCCAAGCCAGTGGAGGCCATCCGACATTGGTCTGGGGAGTCATGAGAGCCACTTCTGCCAGGCTTCGTTCGAGGACCTTCAAAAGCGCAAGGTCGGGGCGGGATCGAGGGCGTGATGCAAGAATCAATGGGCGATGTTCCCTGCGATCGCTGCGCAGATGGCTTGCTGGGCGACGCTGTTCTCTCACATGTCTGGCTTTGCGATCATCCGGTGTAGCCTCGACCTCCAGCAGCTCCAGAGCTTCAAGGCCCGCCCAATCCCAATTTTACTTGATGTTCCCCGTGAGAGGAGGAGTTCTTGGGTTCTTACTGGCTTTTGGAGGCATCCCTGCTCAAAACTTGACTCGTGTACTGAAGCTGCATATCCTGACTCTCTTCGATCAACCGCAACTTACACTGCTCCATGGATACTGTCTGTGTTCCGGAACCCAACCCGACGTACAACTGAAGATCACGAACAGGAAGGCGTCGCTGTGGTGGTGCCCACTGTCGTCAATGCAGCAATCTCAGGGCACGTCGCCGAAGTTTTTTGCTCTGGTGGTTCGTGAGCTTTTCCAAGGCTCTGCTGCTTGTGGTCCTGTTCAAAATCACGGAGTCCATGCGCGCCAGAGTTGCCAGTGAAGATCCTCGGTACCAGCTGTGGGAGCATGCTTCCGAGGCCTGGAAGTACAGACCCTGTGACAGCTCATAGCTCATGTTTCGGGAGCCGACAGAGAATGCTGATGGGTTAGTACAGCAGCGTGCGGCCGACTTGTGAGGGCAGCATGTACTTCCAACGAGAAGCGTGAGCGGTGCATACAGCTTGCAGGAAGCAGAAGATGATGCTGAAGTCTCAGGGCAAGTTGAGACGCATCGTTTCAGAGCTTATCGTCCTTTCTCGTTTCGCTACTGCAGGTTGCAGCCATTGGCATCTCCTTCTCTGCGGTCGTGGCTGGAATGCAAACAGTGCAGACAACACACCCGAGGGAGGCGATGCTTGTGTAGTTGACAATCTCTGATCTTGGGTCGCTCGAGGTAGTGCTGCGTGTCTTGGCTGCAGACACCCTTTTTCCGGAAAAAGGGCTCCAAATCCCTAAACCCTAGACGCTAAAGCTGACTGAGGCTTCCTCCTGACCGGCATCATGTCCAACGCCGAGGGCCTTGAGCTCCCCGTGCTCAACCATCCTAGCGGCGCCAAGATCGGCATTGGCCCGGGCCTCGATGGAGCAACGGGCAAGTACTGTAGGGCCTTGGGGTTGAGGGGTTAGGGTTCAGGTTTTGGGGGTTAGGGTTTAGGGTTATTTAGGGTACCTCAAGTCTTACCATGACGACAGCAGGTGTGGCGGCTCTCCTCTGTGCTATCACGTCGATCTCTATCTTGATGATCCATGCCAAGCTGCCCGAACGAATCTGCTTGATCTTGTGCTCACATCTGCGCTGGTCGACGGTTCATGTACATCACAGTCACGTGTCGTTTCGAGGATACAAGAGCGCAATCATAGAGCTCATGCGCTCGTGGCAAGTCCGTCCACTCCTGTGGAATTCCGCCAAAGCTACACGCCTCTCGGCTGTTGACATTTGTGCCTCGAGGCTCAGTCCGAGGGGTGCACCTGTTCTATTTCCAACGATCCTCCACTGTCCTGCTTGACCTGGGTTTTCCATGTCTGCATTCGGGTGTCACGTGGCTTCTTTGGCCTTCACCTCTGTGGGAAACCCTGACAAAGTGGCGTAGCTGCGTAGTGCTGGTATGGTTGTGATCTATGGGTGTACTGCTGCATGTGTCCCAGAGATGGTAAGCAGCATGATTCTGCGGGCCGTACGTCGACACTGCATCCAAGCTCGACATGAGATTTGAGACCTAGGACAAGATGGGTTCTGATATCCAGCAGCGCTTTTGCGACCGGAGCCTCCTGGTGTGCTTTGCTGCTTGCCAGGATCTGCAGCATTTTCGACAGGAGCTGCTGTGTGAACCTGTGATGTTGGTCCAGAGTTGGCCGGCAAGGAATGCAAGGTCTTTAGACATGGCAGCTGATCAGCTTCCTCAGGCTTTCTGGGGATCATCTTAGGTACAATGTGAAATGGATCCTCTTTGGTGGCTTGGCTTCCGCACGCCTCACCTACCTGCAGCAAAGTGGGCAGTTTACACTTAGAACTTAGAGCTTTCTGCTGCACTTCTTACTAAAGGCATTTCCTGAGTTTCTTCTTTGAACCAGGCTTTGAGGAAGCGGCAGATGCCGAAGCGAATCCGAACTCCTGCATCTGGCGCGTGGTCCTGGCCCTGACGGCCGCGTGTCAAGCACTTGAGAGCCTCAAAGGAAGAAGAGGTTTAGGTTCAGGGAATAGGGCTTAGGGTTTAGGATTTAGGGTTTAGGATTTAGGATTTAGGGTTTAGGATTTAGGGTTTAGGGTTTAGGATTTAGGGTTTAGGGCCCCAGCTCCTTGCGAGGGCCAAGGCTGTATAGGTCTGGGCTTCCCTTCAAAAAGCCTTCTGCGCCAGGTCTCCTTCGGTAGCTTTGTCTTGGTCGGTGCCTTACAATCCCGGACCCTGGCCCATCACATGTACCAGCAAGTTCTTGACGTGGAGTGGTTATCTCGTCCGATGTCCTGGTGTTCCCTTTTTAATGTTGTGCAGGTCTACTTCCTGGATTGGCTCCAAGACTTGGATTCCACGGATGAAAGTGCTGACCGCGCAATTGGCGAGGTCATCAATGCTGCTTGGACATGGAGGGAATTCCAAAGCAACTCGAGTCGTGGAGTCGTTTCCACACCCAGCCCAGGCCATCGGTGTTTGTGTTGGCTTCGCCTGGGAGCAGCCTCTTGGAAGCAATGTCAGCCCATTTTGAGACTCTCACGGGTCGTGTTGCTGTTCCCGTGTCCACAGAAAATCTCACTACGTTTGTTTCGCGGATCGCACTGTCGTGTTCCAGGGCCTTTGATGCTGGAGTTAACACGATCGGTGCCTCAGCTGCACTTCTGCCTAGCAGGGCAGCACTGGGGCAGCTTAGCGAGTCCCTGCCGTATCGATGTGAGCTTGGCAGGATCTCTCACGGAGCACTTGGGCCAGTACTATCCGATTTGGGCTCGACTCTTCGTTGCGGCTGCTGTAGCGATGGTCCGCTGGTTGCAACCTGCTGTGGCTGTGATTCGCAAAAGAGGCAATGGGGCAATGTGATTAGAAGCGACGCAGGTGATGATTCCAGCTTGGCGGTTGTACTTGATCAAAAAATCTCTTGAGCCTTGGCTATGTTTTTGCAAAGGGGCGCAGGGAAGGCTCCTTTTGGAGCGCAGAGGCCAGACCCAGCCTGAGGTTTCTTGTGTAGCTCTAGCGCTTATACTTCTCCCTGTGATGCAAGGAGAAGCATCAGAAATGCGAAAAGTGCGTCTTGGCGGGATGTATGCTGTGAGCACTCTCAACAATTGAGAATAAACAGGTGTGTTTGAAAGTGCCATGGGTCTTCTTCATGCACGCATGATGTACTGACGTGCATCGCATGGTACAGTAGCCCATGCACCTACTGCACCCGCAAAATGGCTCACACCCCCTGCACAGGCAGAGGCAACAAACAGGCAAAAGGCCCTAGCAGTCCTGAGCCACAAGGCAGTGAAGACTCAAAGCCCTCCTAGTTTGTAGTACAAGGCCCCAGGGCGCTCAAAGCCCTGAAATCTCCACAAGTCCTAAAGAGTAAAGGCTCCACTGTAGAATGGAAAAGTGCGCACCACCCCCAGCAGGCCAAGTGCCCAAAACCCCTCAGCCCGAAACCCTACAAGGCCCAAATCCTAAACAGCATTTGCCTTCCACCGCAAATTCCCCAGACCATTCTAGGCCCAAAGCCTAACAGGCTTAGGGTGTAGGTTTAGGATCCGGGTTTTAAGCTTTATGATTTCGGGATTCAGTTGCCTGGGTGTTCAGTACCTCAACAGTGGGTCTGGCTCACTCAAACAGTAATCCACGGCTGCACTAGTCGGGAAACGAAGACGGCCGAGTCGAGAAAACGAGAGCGTCAAGTGAGTCGGAAACAGGACGTTCCGGCATGCGAAAGAGGCCTGGTGAGACTCGGAAAATGGTGTGTGCAGAGTCAAGATCCAACGAACGTTTGTGCAGGTTTTCGACAAGTCACTCCTTGGGGTATTGGGCTTACCTCCTATTCTAACCTGTAGGGGTTTTGGTTTTTGCGAGCAGTCTTTTTCTGTGGGACCTGAAATAAACCCAAACTGACATAGGGTACGGTTCAGCGGGTCTGTGGTCCGGCCTCGCCAGTACACGAATCGGGTCGGCGGCTGTCAGTGGGCGAGTCCGCACGCTCAGTGCTCGAATCCAGATCCATCGTGGCCTCAACAGAAAATCACAATGGTATTGCGCACACGCCTCCAGAACAACTGTGCGACGTGGGCACAGCCGCAAGATTGAAGCGGACGAGGTTGCGGGAGACGGGATGGAGCCACGATCCAGCAGGGCTTGCACGGTTCCAGCACCGCGGGGAGATCTTAAAGACGACAGGATCCACGTTGGCGACAAGGTGACTTCACGGATGCTATGGTCGCTGAGGTTAGATTCCGACTGATTGGCTGCCCTTGTTCCAGAGCCAAGCGCGAACAGATAGATATGGACGTGGCGGGACGGGAATGCATCAGCAGACAAAGCCAAAGAAACTTGTGTCAGCAGAGGGCGAAAACAGGCGAGGAGAGAGCTCGGACGATGTGAACGTCAGTGATTGGGGAATGTGAGTATACAAAGGAACAAGTTTTGGGCCGCTTTAAGGCGAGCGTACTCAGCAAAAGCAGAGCGTGCGGCCAGGGTTTACTCTGTTGCTTTTGAGGGGAGGAGCCAATGGAAGCTCTTCAAACCTCCTCCCGAGCTGAGGTGGTGCCGTCTTGCTCATCGACGCTTCTTTTTGCCACCACGCTGCATTGGGGAAGTAGGAATGTCACAGGTGAGTGCATGGCTATCGGCTATCTGCTGTGCAATGCATCATTGAGCATGGAGATTGCATCAACGGCATTGCTGGCAAAGGGGCTTTGGCTGGCTCAGGGAAAGCAGCACTGGGTGGTGACATGAGACAGCCTGCTGCGCAGGTCACGTGTGTGGCGCGAAAAAACCCCAAGCGCGCCACTCAGAGACCTGAGCTTTTGGTAGCAGCAAGAAGGCAAGAGATGCCGAAATTCGCTGGCCAGGCCTCCGCACGATAGCATGATCGTCCAGCTTCAGGCTCTGCTTCGTAATGTGTCATCGGGCTTGACATGGTTGCATGGGTTTTTACACAGTTCCTTCGGTTTGGAATGCGGGCCGCTTGACAGCAAGCTGTGCGGAGGCTTCTACTTGCTCAGGAAAATTTGGTGGTAAGCAAGGAGGTTTTATACATTTAGCAAAAGCCGCGCAAAGACAGTGTCCTTCGTTCAAGCTCCCGCAGTTGCAGAGGGAACCAGGCTCAACGTAAGACGGAAGGAGTGCGAAGCGTTCCTGGCTCTGCCCTTTCCGGCGAGGTCGTAGAGCTGCACCTGCAGCTGTAGTGAGCATGAATTTGCGAACGCGAGAACTCCACTAAAGTGGCGAAACCTGAGAATAGGGTGCCCTGGTCAGTTGGTAAGTTTGATGCAGACTCAGCACGGTGCAAAGACCGTGAGCCTTGCATAGACTCACCTCCCTCTCACCTCCCTCAGCCCCAGTTGTATGTGCAGTTACTTCGAGAGTGCTAGTCGGACCGAGGCAGTGTGATAATGCTTTTTGATCCAACTTTAACTTGCTCCGACGTTTCACCCACGAATTTGAGGCAGGCTGAGGTAGTTCATTGGTGTTGCACAAAGCGGCTTCAACAACAAAACGGTCTTGGCATCCGATCCTCCTAAACTCGTTTTAATCATCTATTCGTTTTTGCAGAACGAGGCAGCGGTTTGTGACAGGAGGCTTTCCGGAGAGCCTTTGGAAGCATGGAAACACCGACATAGCTTCTTTTTGCGGACCCGCACGGAGCTACGGTGCACCTCAGTGTTCGACGAGACCGCCCTTGTCGTCATCCGTACTATTCAGCATAGCTTTGCTGATCAAGTGTATACTGAGGGGCACAAGGTGTCTTTCCTTACGTGTTGTGCGACTTGCTGTGTCAATACCTGATTTCATTGGCACTTCTTTGGCCCTCATGGCCTGGGACATTCTCGTGTTAGGCCTAAGCGGTCTTTATTGAATCCTGTAAGAGAAAGCCCAAGCCTGGCTGTTTCGAGGGGCGGTTCACGAAGACGGACAAGCCGTCAAGTTAAGAGAGACTGAGCGCTTTTGCGGTCAGGAACCAAAAGTTCTGCAAGAGGGAGACCGTGCCAGTGAGGGCACGTAGGAAGGTTCTCTGCGAAGCATGCCATGAAGCATTTCCGCTGTAGAAATCTCACGGGAGCGGCCGGAAGAACACCTGTTCGGCTGCCTTGTGCAAGGAGCCGCATCGCCCCAAAGCACTGGCCTTAGGAATGGCACAGGCAGCCGCAGCCATGGCAGAGCCAGCACGCAAAGCACACTTCCAAGTTGACACAGCTGAGGAATTGGGCGGAGGCTGCGGTTGCCTTGGCAGACGCCGTACTCTGTATTGACCAGGCCTGACAATCGAACTCTGAGTCTGAGTCTGAGTAGCTCCATTGGGCAGAGAGGCTTCCAATGAAGCCATTGACAAAAGCAAGGCCGAGGAGAAGTTCCTAGTTCTTCCTTTGAAGATGTCGACCTGCAGCTCACGGCTCCAAAGAGCGCGGGCTTTGCTTTCTCTCAGAGGAGCTGCTGGCTGGACTCATCGACGCAGGGCGCCCGCGTCCGGGCCAAAGCCACAAAGCGGAAGGGCCGCCCCGCCTGCTCGCGTATTTGGGAAGGAGAGAAAGTAAGAAAGTAACGTAGACGTCGTGGAGGTCAGGCACTGGAAGTGTACACTCAGCTGGCTATCCTGGACGTGCCGCCTGCGAGCTTGCTAGCTTGTGTTGCAATCTGGTTGTTGCCAGCATCATGCTTTTGACGGTGCGTTGCAGGCACAGCGTGCCGTGAATCTGCTGGAAAGGCAAGCTCGGTCTCTACAGTTATGTTTTGCTTTGCGCTAGCCATTTGTGGTTTGCAACAGTTCCCTATCCAGACAATTTTTCCTTCTCGGCCTCCATCTTCGTTCTTGTCAGTGTCGTCCCGCGGCATGCAGGGCGCGCTGGCCGAAATCGGATGCAGAAAGGGAGGCCACGGTGATGCGGTGATGCGATGTTTTCAGCTCCCGCAGCACGGATATGGCTCTGCAGGCTGTTGGCCAGGTCCGGCAAGGTCCAAGTTGCTTTGTGATTTTCTGCTTCAAGTGGATGCACCTTCAGTGGACCATGGGGCGCACGTCCAGAAAGTAGTCTTGCCATCAGAAGAAGACGTAGTCCGAGACGCAAACCAGAGGGTTTTCGTAATCATCATGTCCTCATGGTTTTCGCTGCCCACCTTCTATCCAGCTAATTGTTCAGGTGGCTTAGGCCCAGGCTCTTCGCATGGATTCCCCCTGTTTTGTTTCCAAGGTTTAGAGTTTTCCGCGCCGGTGCAGATGCTGCTACTTGTCCCTGCTGTTACCCTTCGGCCTTTCGTGTTCCTTGTTGTACTTTTAACCTGTCTATTCTGAATTCTGAACGCCTTCTAGCCCTCCAACCTTGAACCGTACGTCCAGTGGACCAGCGACTGCCCCGGCTTTCATTGGGAAATTTGGCTGTGTTGCGCGAATCCCCTTTTCGGGGTCAGGAACGAGCCCTCCTGCGCATAACGGGTCTTTCCCGTGCCCTTACTCGAGAGAGGGGAGTGATTTCATGCAACGCTTAAGGTCGAGGGATGAGCCTTGAACGTACTTCCACAGCAAAAAACCGGGAAAGATGCTTTTCCGCTTTGCCTGCTGTGCCCGCCGGCTGTTTGCTCGAACAAAGGAGTTCTAGGTGGGGTGTGTCCTCTGGTCCCCTCACACGTTCCAGGCTGGCACCTCTGAAATTGTGAGCTTGAGTGCATTGCGCCTCTCGCCAGGTCCATCTGTCTGCCCAGACAGTTCTTCATTTCATAACAAAACAAAGGCTCGGCTTTGATTTAGTGTAGGGCAGGATGCAAAGATTCCACGCAGCCTCGAACTGTTTGCAGTATGAGGCGGTGTGAGCAAGGTGCTGGCAATGTCTTCCGAGCCCCCTGGCTTACAATCTGATATTAATATTATTATTATTATTATTATTGTTATTATTATTAGTATTATTAGTATTATTAGTATTATTAGTATTATTAGTATTATTATGAGTATTATTAGTATAATTATGATACCCGGCTCTTTCTTTTACATGGGGATCCGAGAGACATGGGGGGTGGGGTGCCGCCTTCGAGGTCCGCTGAAGCATCGTTTGCACAGTCTGCCCGGGATATCATCCTGGCACCGATTCTGACACTGTGGTCGCACGATGATCATGACCTAGAGATGCAGGGTTGTTGAGATCATCAGGCTGGTGTTGGGGCTGAACTCTGAGGTATCCAAAGCTCTTCGTGAAGTGGTGCCGTGGCAGATTTCACAGAGTCTCCGACTTGCGATACTGTACTGGCAGCACGGACGCAGATTGTATGAAGAACATCTCAGGTGCTTGCCTCCTTTTGCATGTTTTCTGTGCTTCTGCTGCCAAAGCGCTACTCGGTCTCCAACATAGAAGTCACTGAAGCCTGGATGAAGCCTCTAGTGGCATGTCAAAGTGTCAAAGCTCTGAGAAAAGAAGGTCTTGCTACATTTAACGACGGTGAAGTTTGCCATGGCCCTGGAAAGTTGTGGCGACACGCCAGAGCTGCATCCGATCAGTTCGTGTCGACACCAGTGAGGTCAATCTGCATCAGCAGAAAGAGCCACTCGCGCAGGATGCAGGACAGCAGCTAACATATCTGAAGAGCCAGAGAGGGATTGCCTCACTGTCCAGGCCACATAGCCTTGGGCAAAGCTGATGTTCCCATGCACCCCGGCAAGATCGAGAAATCGACACCTCTGCCGGGAATTTCTCACCTGTAAAGCAGATCGCTCTCAGGCAGCTCCTAGATCTGATCTCCGGCGGCGTCCTTATGTGCTTCGTCGCTGGTGCCGTACTTCTTCGTGACTTGAGGACGCCATGATGCCCCGAGTGTCCGAGTGTGTGCTTCATGAGACTGCTCTGCTGAGTGAGGACCTGGAGCAAGCTGTTCTTCTGCAACGGCATACTCTTTGTCCTCAAAGGCTCCATCCTTTCAGCACACAAAGGACAAAGAGGACAGGGCCTCGCCGTGCAAGGAGTCTTCGACTACGTCACAGTCCTGCCCGACTCGATTGGGATGGAGAAATGTGAAGCAAGGCCCATGTGTTTCCTTCGGGCTCGCATGCAATGCTGGAATCTGCCAGAGTCCAATTTTTGCGAGGTTGGGCCTCGCACCGCTGAAGGAGTTCGAGAGACTTGGCAAGCTCAGCGGCCGCTTGCGAGCACTTGGAGCCCTTTGATCAACAAAATCTCTAGCGGCATGTGAAAATCCAGGCCAAGACTTCATCGATGCCATGATCTCCTTGGAGCTTCGTGGTGTGGGCGGGACATGGCCGGTTCGGTACTGTGCCGATATGCTCTTGAGCGGTCATACCTTCGTCGCTTGGCTGCCCTGGCGTTGTTGTGCAGATGTCTTTGTTGTTCATTTTGATGTTTATGCCATGGCTACGAAGGTTATGCTGCTCTATCTGCTGGCAGTGGCTGATCTCGGGCAGCGGGCGACGCTGCTGATGGAATCTCCGCAGAGCCACTTGGACGTGAGCAATGGGATTCTTTATCGTCTCGGAATGACAGACGATGCGCCTTTTGTGTGTGTGTGTCTCTGAGGAGAGATCTGCCAGGCACTCATTGGCGCTTCGGATCAATTTCGTCCGGCTGTCCATGACATGACAAACGGCTTTCTAAAGCCGGCAGTGTTTGACATTTTGAAACTTCGCGAGCCAGCAGAGTGCCGTGCCGGGACCTGGATGTGAGGCATCTTTGCACTTTGCTGCACCGCAGCCGATCTGTACTTGATCGTGATCAATCACTTCCACTACACCGTGGATGTTGTCATGGCCATCGTGATGACGTTCTTACTCTACACAAATGCAGGACGCTCCGGCCGTGGGGGGTGGCCCAAACACGCGAGCAAACATGTTGGCGCATTTTCGGAGCCCCAAGTTCTCGGAGAGTTTTCAGGCTCGTGCAGACACAAATCGGGCGCAGGCATGGCCGTGGTGGTTCAGTGGTATGTTTCTGAACACGGCGAGGGCAGTCGGCCGTGCTCTCAGATGATCTGCACCTGGGTCCTGTAATGTTTCCTCGGACGTTGCAACTTTCGCGACCTTCGAGGAATACGGAGGACAATGGAATGGTGTGGGTTCCGACAGCCATGTTTCCTTTCTGCTGCTTTGGTGGGTACTACAAAGTGAAAAGGCGCCACGCTTGCAGCCACTTTGTTGTGCTTCGCCTCAGTACTCGATGCCTCACGGGCACGGTAGCCAAGGCTTCAGTCAAAGGAGGTTCTCCAGCGGCAGGCCTGTGGTCATCCCTCTTGTCGGAAGGGAGGGCGTGGTTGCAGTTTCGGCCGTTTCGAAGAGTAGAGTGTGATATTGTAGTCTTGTAGCATGGTACGGTATAGCAGGGCATCAGACATCCCACGGCGAGGCAGCTGACGGAAGCGCAGCCTGGGAACGGCTCGCCGGGCCCGGCCCGGAGGCGAGACATGGCGAGACCTCAGAGCCAGGCGACTTCAGTTCCTCTGTGGTTTTGGCTCCCAGGCCAAAGACTATGGCACAATGCAAGCCCCAGCACAGGAGAAGACTGAGGCAAGCATGCAAGCATTCATGCTTATGCTTGCAGCCCATGCATGTGGCACGCTGGGAGGAGCTCGCAGACCCCTGAGCCGCGTCATCGTCATGGCTCTACCGAGGGGACACAAAAAATGCAGTCTTTCATGGTGGTTGGCGGGTGCCCCATCTGCTGTGTACATAGACGTTTGATCTGTGCTGGCACATAATCATAGAGCAGCCGCGAGCATCAAGAAAAGGCACTGCTCGCTTTTGACTGTGTCTGAAGGATGCATCAGCTCGACGGTTTGAGTAGCTTCTGTCGCAGCTTCTGTGCAGAAGCCGGCGCTGCCTTCGAGAAGGCCTTGTCACGGCTGAGCGGGCCGCCTGGTGGTCCGTTGTGCGACTGCTGCCCTGGAACGGGGGCCTTGTGGCTGACATTGGCTGAATGAGTGCTTCTGTGCTGACTTGCCTAGGCTCTGCACCCAAGCTGTCGACGGACTGGCACTTGAAGGAGGCATGGGCTCAGTAGTGTGGGCAGGTGTAGATTGAGAGTGCTCTCCGCCGCCAAAAGTTTGGCTGAACTGCTACGCTGCTACGCCATGCACCTGCTCAAGCGTTCCGGCATGTGGAAGCAAAGCATCTCGTGTGAGGGAAGTTGAGGTAGCCCCAGGTGTCCCAGCATCCAGTGGCGGTCTTCAGTCTGGTAGTCTTCCATTCTGCATGCGGATGCTATGTCGAAGTGGCTGTTCGGTGCATTCTGTCGTGATTGTTGTCGCAGACTTGTGGTCGCAACGTGGACAAAGTGTGAGGATAGAGCCAATCGCACATCGAGAAAGCCCATGCAGCACAGAAACAAAGTTGACATGGCTTTGCAGCTACGCCCTCCCTGAAAAGGCCAACATGTCACACTTCGGCTCTGGCAATTCGATCGGGGTCTGGCCGTCAGATCCCCCTTCAAGCCCATCGGTGTGTGAATCGGCTTTCTGGTGCCTTGCAAGTGGCACTCTCCTGACCTGTGGCGTTTCGGCTTAGGGCCCTTGAGTCTAACGACTACCGTTTGTAAGCAGAGGAAAAAGCCATTGCATTCGCCGACGCTGCGCTTTTAAACTCCGTGCTGTCATCAGTTGGCAGCGGAGCTGCGGTTGCCAGGGACCTCCGAGATCTGGCCCAGCAGTACCCCGAGGTGTCTCTCGACTACACGATTCGCCGGGAGCTCTACGCCTTCGGTGCTCTTCTTTCACGACCGCCTCTTCTACCTGATCCTGCGGAAGGAGGTCGTGCTTGGCCTTAGCTGAGGAGGTGTTCGGGGAGCACTGGCTGCGATGGCGACGCAGTCGGGAGAAGGAGGCTGGACTTACCGAGATAAAGATCCTCCTCCGGGCTATGACGGTGCGAACCCGCAAAGCACCTTCAAGCCTTACCTTCGGGACTTGGAGCTGTGGCAAGCCGCTTCGGATGTGCCTGAGGAGAAGCAGGGCTTGAAGCTGGTCCAGGTCTTGACTGGGGCAGCCAAGGCGGCGGTCGACACCCTCACCGTGAAGGAGATCAAGGGCGCCGACGGCTACCCCAACGTGATCAAGAAGCTGAAGGAAGCGTTCGAGCCGTACGTGGAGACGGCCCTTCCTAGAGCAATGGAGAACGCCTTTTACGGCCAGCCGCGCGGCCACAAAGAGAGTGTTAGTGAGTTCTTGGTGCGCTTCCAAAGGGCGCAAGCGGTGCTCAAGGATGAGGGCATCACTCTTCCCACCAAGGCGGTGGGCTACCTCCTCTTCAGACAAGCCAACTTGGACCACGAGTTGGAGGCCAGGCTTGTGACCTGGCTGGCGGGCGACTACTCCTTGGACACGGTGATCACGAACCTGCGCCGGCTAGAGAGAGTGACTTCCGAGCCGGGCAAGAAGGTCTTTTATGGAGAAGGAGAGGACCCCGAGGGCGAGCAGGAGGCTTACGGCGCCGAGACCTATGTCACCGATCAGGCCGAGGACGACGACGATGACGAGAACTGGGTCTACCTCGAAGAGGGCCAGCTGGACGGCACGTTCGATGAGGACGAGGTCTTAGAAGCCCTTGCCACGTACCAGCAGGTCCGCAAGCAGATCAAGGAGCAGAGGTTGGGCCGTCAGTTCTACAAGCCGGGCGACACAGCCAAAGGAAAGGGATTCGGCGGCCACAAGTCGTCCGGGAAAGGCGTCTTCAGGCCGAAGGGCTCGGGCGCCAAAGGAGGCAAAGGAGAGAGTCGGCGGATTCACATAGAGCAGCTGAAGTTGCGCACCAGGTGCCGCAACTGCGGTCAGCTGGGCCATTGGAGCCGTGAGTGCAAGTCGCCTTCTACCGGGGCCCCCTCTTCGGTGCCTTCGTCGGCTGCGGCTTCTGGCTCTCAGCGGTCTGCGCAACATGCTTGCCTCCCGTGCGCTTCAAGCCGAAGCCAATGCGCCAGTGCTGCCACGCCGCCGCGTGCCAGACCGGACAAGGTGGGCTTTAAGAAACTGGCGGGTCATCTTGGACAAGCTCTACTCGGTTGTGCTTTGGGGGCGGTTGCATACGGCGGTGTCGGACTGGATGGGCCCAGCACCTTTGCCGCGGGCTACGAGCCAGCCTTCGAGCACTTCCTCAGGAAGCCTGGTGGTGGCACCGACCGACAAGGCGAAGTTCTACCGCAACTACCTCGATGGCAACCCCAAGGAGCTGGCCAGGATCAAAGGTGTGCCCCCGATTCCGGATGCTCAGTTGTGTGGGCACGAGGCACGCTACCTCAAAGGCGGTGGGAATGGGCATCAGAACTGGATTCACTGTGCCCAGTGCCATTGCCGCTGGCTGCTGAGCCCTCGCTCGGCCTCACTCGTGACCGGCCGGGCCTTGGAGGAGCCGGCGGAAGCTCCCAAAGCAAAGGCCAAGATGAGATCCCTGAGGCCGGCCACTGCGGAGACGGCGAGGACAAAGTCGCCGAAGCGAGGCCAGGGCAGCCTGGAGGACGGCGACTGGTCTATGCTGAGGGAGGCCGACTATGTCAAGGTTCTTGCCGAGCGGGAGGAGAAGATGGAACAGTTGCAGGCGCAGCTCGACCTCCTGACGGGCAAGGCCATGGAGTTTCAGATGGCCGAAGATGCGTGCGCTTCGTTGGAGATGGCGCTCAGCAGCATGGAGGAACGCATGAGGAACACGACGAACCAGCTCACCACAGAGTTCCGACGGCTGCAGATGGCGGAGTCCGAGACGAGGTTCAAGAGCAACCACTTCCCCACCAGGGACACGCGGGAGGAGTGGATTCAGGCGGCCCAGAACTACAAGAAGGCGGCCGAGCAGATCCTGGCGTTCTACCAGGACACCCTGAACCAGCGCTCTCAACTGGCCGCCCTCTTGATGAGGGGAGTCTAGAAGGGCACCGGGCCGGTGCCGGGACGATGGTGCTGAAGCGCTCTTCGCCGGCTTCTTTTGAAAGGTGGCTGGCGAGACCTGCGCCGGGGCTTGCCGACTTTGTGGTTGTGCAGGCGGGCGCTCGCCTTGTGAGGCGCGACCGGTGCGATTTCGCCACGCTCGGCGGGAACTATCTCCCCGAGATCTTCCATGTGGTGAACGAGCCCGAGCTGTACCTCCAGGATACCATGGACGACGGCATGGAGGTGGACCTCGCGGCCTACTTTAAAGATCGCTCGCGGTTATAGTGTTTATTAAAGCTTATGTTCATATACTAGAGATTACTAACACTTGAGAAATGGTTAGCTAAGTGGTTAAGCAAGTATTTAGCTAGCCGATTAGCTAACTAGTTAGCTGTGTCGCTAAGTACTTAGCTAAGAAGTTAGCTAACTAGTTAGTAAGCAGAAATAGTCGTTCGTATCAAACAGAAACATCGAAAGTTGATCATAAGATTAGCCTTTTAAAAGAAACATGGGCAGACAAATCAGGAAGCTCATACTTGAGTTGCAGTATAGGAAAGTATACAAAAGCCCATGGGCTCTTACAAGGTTTGAACATGTGGCACGGCATCGTGCTAATTGTGTAGAAGCATGTATAGTCATAGCACGCATTTTTTCCGAAATGCGGCGGCAGCTCTCGCGATCAGGGTCCGCTTCGGGATCCAAGCCCGAAGGCTGCCGTCAGCATTTTTGCTGTAAGCGGCAGCTCTCGCGATCAGGGTCTGCATTCCTTCGGGATCCAAGCCCGAAGGCTGCCGTCAGCATTTCTGCTATAAGCGACAGCAGCCATGATGTTTTCGGTCTCTACCAAGCTCGCAGCTTCCTGCTTCTGACAGATGCATGTACCATGCTTCCAGTCATGCTGCTGCATCTCGAGCACGTTGACCAACGAAAACATCTTGCCTCCAACCTCGGCATGGAAATAGACCTCTGCAAGCTCACAGCTTCTCATGATCACAACATCTCCCTTGTGACAGTGGCCGGCTGGAGCCAAGTGAGCTGCTGCACATGTGTAGACCTCCTCGTCGAGTGGCAAGACTTCGCGAAGGAAGCCTTTCAGCTGCTTGGACGGCTTGCATTTCTGGTGCAGCCTTGCGGCTGTGTCGAAGAGGTGCTCGTCCTGGTAGTCCGCCAAAGTCTGGCCCAGTGCCTCCACTAGCAAGGACTTGTCAAAGTGACTCGTGTTGTGCATGAGAGCACCGTGTCTCTTGATGTGTCTGTGCTTTCGTTCTTGAACCCAGCAAGAAGGTAAACAGCCGAATTTGGCTAAATGCCGAGGTAAGTGGAGTATCCAATGAAACTTAGGGTGGAAATCATCTTGCCACCCTGCATCTCGAGCACTGCACAAGAAGCCCTCGACAGCTGTTCTCAATCTTTGAGGTGTCGTCACCCCATGGGGCACAGCTTGAAGCAGCTCGAGCACATCTCTGAGGTGTATGCATACAGCGATTTCCATGGAGCAGATTCCCAAGGGTTGCAAGACATTTACCAAAAGGCACGTGAAGATGGGATACAATGCCAGGGCTTCGGAAGCTGTGCACTTGAAGGTCTCAGCGCTTTTGTTGGCTTCCTTCCTCTTCGCAGTAAACAATTTAGCCAGATTCTGCGATTTCGAACGAGGCAAAATCCACTGCTCCACATAATCAGCACAGATCTTGCAGAAGTCCTGGCCAAGGCCTTTCTCAGCAGCTTTCATAGTGAGCTGCATGCAAGTGTTCCTGCCAAGAGTCGGGGCTGGGCAGGCAGGAAGAAAATGATCATGCCAACAAGTGCAGTGCAGGAAAGGAAAAGAACTGGTATTTCGTATATATTGTTACATGCAAAACCAAGCATCCAAATGCCTTTGACGAAAAAGGCATGCATCCAGTCGTGAAGCCATTGGCTGACAGGCTTGGCGACAGTGCAGAGTTCCGGGTCAAAGATCAAGCTCTCAGGCTGATAAACGATGCCCACGGCCTGCTGCCACAAAGCAAAGTCGGTCTTCGTCAGCTCTTCATGTTTCTCCAACAGCTTCATGATGCTTCGGCTGAAATCCTCGTCGCTGTTCAGTTGCAGATCAGCCTCTTTGAAGCACTGATTCAGCAATCGAGCTTCTGCTAGCTCAATGCTATTGTTCGCCAGAATGTTTCGGCAAAGCAAGCAACACCGAGTACCTGCGTCCCCCTTTATCGAGAAAAGCAGCTTGTGTGCTGCTCCATCCTGTAGGAATGCAGCGAGCCTGAAAAACAGCCTTTCGGCTCTTCCACCATCAGGCCGCTTCAACAGCACTCCTGCTTCAGGGCTCGCATTGCCAGAGACGAAGATAGATTTCAGCAGCATGCCAGCCACTTGGCTCATACCACCAGGCAAATTGGACACCACAGTGGTTCTGACCAAGCACAGCGGCAGCCATGAGGCTTCTTTACTCAGGTTGATGGGGCCTAGCTCAAAAAATGATACATAGATTGCCCAGACTTTCCGGGATGCTTCAGGCGCCAACGGGTTTCCACAATTGATTTCGTCGGAGTAAAAGATTAGCCTGCAAGGAGCACGAGTGCTACTGCCATGGAGCAATCGTCTCCACTCAGCAGAGGCGAGCCACAGGGCTTGTAGCAACGAAAAAAAATTGACGAATATGAGAGTCTGTTCAGCACCATCCTTGTCCTGCACTGCCATGCTCTGAAGCAATGGACCATAAGCAGAATGCTGTTCGAGTGCATTCTCTGTCGCCTCCTTGACATGTTTTCTTCCATGCATTTCCGGTAGGCCAGACGATTCCACCGCTTGCAAAAGAGCAGACATGGCTGCAGCCGACATAGGCGGTAGCCTTCGTTTGAAAGCTTCCAGCTTCTGCAGCTTAGCTCCTCTGTCCATGGCCGCTGACACCACTCAAAAAGATACCCTGATTTAGCGAGTTTCGTGCATGGCTCATCACAATACTTCAAAAAAGAAATAAATGCACATATTTCCTATACGGTCTATATTCATTCCCTGCATAGTGCAGGCCTCCCATGGCAAAAAAAGATAGCATGCGAAAAAGCTTTGCAAAGCGAAGGTTTGAAGAACAAATCCTAAAGCCATACTGGGTTGTCCGAGTCTGACAGGCAGTGGGCTATACGAGTGCTGTGAAGCCTAAAGCCTCGAACCATGCACGAAATTTGCATAGTAGTCGAGACTGGCTGATAATGTTCCATGCAGTGTGAAAAGCTGCAGCCTTAAAACCCCTAAACCATGATAATGCTTCAGCTTGAAAAGCTGAAGCCTGACACAGCCGAAAACATGAAACTACCTTTTAGATTGTAGGTTTCAGGTTCTTGGTTTAGCCATTAATGGTTAAACCAAGAAAACAAGAAAATAACCCATATGCCAAAGCTTGAAACCCTAAAGTCGCAAAGTTGAAGCTTAAATGTTTGCATACAGCTTGCATGGTCAGCATGGCGCAATCCCTTCGTTTTCTGCTTCCCCCAGCACTGGCTTCACGGCCAATGATTCGGATAGCTCTCTTAAACACTTGAGCGAGACCATCCTCAACACCCAGCAAGCGCCATCTAAAGACATGCATCCATGTCCCATGGAACCTGCTATAGCCCGGAGGCTCCCCAGGAGTCTCATGCTTCGATGGCCAAATTGCACGAGCCTTCGGCCCTGCAGGGTAGCATCACTTGTCCCACAGCTTTGCTGCTGCTGCACGAGCTGATCTAGCATATTCTTTGCAAGCCTCATCGTCGCAGCCGCTTCGTCGGGCGATGTCTCTGCCCTTGTGGTAGTGCTTGTCCACGTAACTGTCTCTGCGAGCTTTTCTCTGTGCAGCCGTGGGCTTCTCAGCGATGTACCGTGGCAAGCTTGCAGCAGTGGGCTTCTTTCCACCCTCAGCCTGACCCTTGGCTTTGGACTTGCTCTTGGGCTTGCCCTGAGCCTTACTGGCTTTTGATGTCTTCTGCCCATTGCCCGCATTCGCTTTCTTGTCCTTCAAGGCCAGGAAAAGCTGCTCGTCAATCCCCGCACGGCCTGTCTTCTTCTCATCAGTCGTCTTCTCGGCCTGCTCCTCTTCCTCACTCTCCTCATCCTCAGCCGGAGGCTCATCCTCAGCCGGAGGCTCTTCCTCAGCCGGAGGCTCTTTGGGTGCTGGCGGCAACATCTTCAAAGCCTTAGCCTTCGGCTTCGGCTTGAACTGCTGTCCACCCGGCTGGTTCTGCTGGAAGACATTGGCCACCTGTGCGACAGCCTTCATCATGCCCATGAACTCCTGCATCCCAAATCCGGCCTGGCTTTGAGGAAAGCTGTGAAAGCCCGTAGGCTCGCTGTGAGAACAGCCCTTGAGCTCGGAAGAAGTGGCAGCAGGCTGCTGCAGCTCCATCATCTTCCTTTTCTTGCTCTGGGCGACATTCCTGTGGGAAGTTCTCACAGGGCACAGCTTGAGGATGTGAGGATAATTCTCTGGTCGCCGAGCCACTGGCTTCTCATCTGGGTAGGCCGCCTCGAAGAGGGCCCGGGGAAGTTTGGCAGGGCTGTCGGGGAACTTGACCAAATAGATGCTGTGATCAACTTGCTGCTCTTCCGAGTTCGCGAATGCCGTCTTGAGCTGACATGCAAGGTCGTGCATCTTGTCAGACGACGGAATGCTGTCCATGAAGCATGCCATCGTAGCGATCGAATGTTTCACGGTCGACTCTGCCAAGCTTCGGAACCCAAGGCTCTTGAGCCGTGCAATGGTGACCTGCTCCTTCGAGTACCAGGAAGCCTCCAAACTTGTCAAGACATCCCACTCGCTCTGGGTGAAGTAGTTGTACAAACACTTCAAATGCTGCGGCTTGAGCGACTGCAGTGTGGCAGGCTCCTGCTCCTCGCAAGCCTCGCCCATGAGCTGGTCCACTTTGCCGGCAATGGCTTCTTGCATGTCCTCCGGAAAAGAGCTCTCTTGAACTGCCTTGTGCAGCTCGAGAGCTCCTGCTGCATCCAAATGATGCAAGCTCTCTAAGCGAAACAAAATGGACTTCAACACCCCTTGCTGAAGGCCGCCGGTAGCCTTGCCCTTTCTATTGGCCAACAACTTCGCATTGTCCTTCATGTCTTGCACAACATCCTGCACAGACCACTCGGCCATCTCGGAAGGGCTTTTCAATGTGCTACGGCTACCGTTTGTCAGCTCGAGAGCTCTGCCAGCGGACATACTTACATGAATCAAATATACAGAAACATGTCAACATTATCTAAGAAGGAAACAACTGGTGGCATCAAAAAAGAGCCATGCCTCAAGATTGTGGTTTTTGCCTGCAGCAGCTGCTCAGGCACGAAATTTTATGGTCGACCAAGGGTTCGTGAATGCAAATGCTACATATATATATATACACACACAGCATCTCTCTATGTACATACACATGCTTCTATATAGAGAAAGACACAGAGAGAGAGAGAGAGAGAGAGAGAGAGAGAGAGAGAGAGAGAGAGAGAGAGAGAGAGAGAGAGAGAGAGAGAGAGAGAGAGAGAGAGAGAGAGAGAGAGAGAGAGAGAGAGAGAGAGAGAGAGAGAGAGAGAGAGAGAGAGAGAGAGAGAGAGAGAGAGCAGGTGCCGGGTGCTTTTCCCTGCTGTGTCGGTGTGGAGATGTTCGGCCGCACATGCTTCCCCCCAGGCAAGCTTCATTCTTCAAGCATGTCGTATGTCTCCTTTGTGTATAGTGCATGATCCTCGTATTTTTCGTCAAATGTGGATATACTGCATGTGAAAGAAACAAAATTTTCCTACATGTGCAGAAGTGCCGACCCCAGCCCAAGAGCTTTTGTATCTGAACAACACATAATTCTTGAAAGCTGCCGGCTCTATATAGGGCTTGAAGACAACCTAGGGAGATGGGCCACCAGGAAAGCCTTTTCCAGGTCTACTTTAGCCCCTGTATGATATTGCTTGGGAAGAATTAGAACGAACCATGCACTGCTCTTGTTTTGCCACACAGGAAGCAACTGCATCGTTCCCAGAGCCTGCACGTCGTGTGCTTTTGTGCAGGATCTGCCCAGCCAGCCATTCTCCACTGCAGAATGTAGAGCGGCCAGCAACCAACGGCTAGGTCTTTCCAGTGCTCCCCGGTGCCCAATTGGAAAAAAGCTTTTCGGCCGACTTCTGAGCACGACGGTTGAGCTGGCTAGCTTATCATCGACTATCTCTGGGACAACCAGCCCTATAGGCTCCAGGATCAGCACAACCGTTGAGCTGGCCAGCCCACCATGGACTATTTGGACCAAGTAGCCCATGGTGGGCTGGCCAGCTTGGTCCTTTCGCCTTTCTCCATTCTTCGCAGCCGCATGCAGAACCAGCCTCAGGCTCTACAAACAACACAACCGTTGAGCTGGCCAGCCAACGATGGACTACCTGCACCAGGTAGCCCATGGTGGGCTGGCCAGCTTGATGGCTTCGCCTTTGTCCATTTTTCGTAGCCGCAGCAACCAGCATATAGGCTCCAGGAGCCATAGCCAAATCCATTATCGCCTTGCACCGACTGGGCAACCGAGAAGGTGGTGAAGACGAACTTCGTCTTCACCACCTTCTTGGTTGCCCTCGGCTTGACCCGACAGCCTGACCAGCTCGCAAACAACAGCCCATAGGCTCCAGACCATTTGCAGTGCAGCCATGGAGCGAGGATCCGTAGAGCCGGCATGCATGCCACGGTTCCTAAGACTCCTGGGCTTATATAGGTTTGCTATATAGGCTTTGGGGTTCATGGTGTTCAACACTTATGAATTATATGAGGTTTAGGGGTGTCCGGGTTTCAGGGTTTACAGCTTAAAGGGTGCACGGTTTTGGTCAGCTTTGGGTTGCACAGCCATGCAACTTTCATGAATATCTAGCAGAGCAGCTTCGGCGACACTGAATGCTTCCAAGTTGACGGGTTGAATATTGTCCCGCAATCACGAGCCTCACGGCTTCCTTTCATGATGTCAGTGTGTGTGTACATATATATATATATATACACGTGTATATATATATATATATATATATGTTTGTATATTAATGTGCACGTACTCCTTCTTGTACTGGTGTGATGTGACGGAATGACTTGAATTGATTTGCTTTAGTTTCATTGAATCATTGATTGATGGCAGCGAAATCACGAGCCTCACGGCTTCTTTCCATCATGTCCATGCGTATGTCTATATGTATATATGTATATATGTTTGTATGTATATATATATGTGTGTGTGTGCATGTGTATATATACATGTATATACGTATCTGTATATGTATATACATATATATATGTATGTATGTATATTGATGTACACATATTCTTTCCTAGACTGATGCTTGAACTGTTTTGCTTTCAATTGATTGAATCAATGATTGATGGCAAACCCAGCAGCCATGAACTTTAAAGCCTTAGACTGATTGTGCTTGAAGAAACAGCTCTCTTCCTGTTTATGTGTTGCTATATGTATATATATATATATATATATGTATATGCTTCCATATGCATACAGACACACACACATATGTATATAAATATGTAAATATATATATATATATATATATATATATATATATGCAGGACCGCAAGGGCTATCCACGAAATCCAGAATCTGAATTATATATTTTTTTTACTAAAAAAAATCAGAATCTGAATTATTGGTGCTTGTTGCTTCCTTTTGTGTTGCCTTCCCAAAAAATAATTATTCTGGAATCCCGGTTACAACCAAGCAAACGGCTTCAAGGCTTCAATCTAGCCCAAGGGCTTTTCCAAAAACTAAGCACCCCCTGTAGGACAAGGCTTGGTTGCAATGTGAAACCACCCATGCACTTCTCTTGTTTTGGCACACACGAAGCAGCTGGTCTGTGCAGTAGTGAAGTGAAGCAAAGTCGCCGTGCTTTCCCCGCCGGACAGCAACAGCTGCTATGCTCTTTACAAGCCCTTGGGCTAGACAATCCTTAGAAAGTTTATTTATTGGTTTAAGGAAGACAGCTTGGCGACGAAAGTGCACACTAGAAGGCATTATGTTTGCCAAGTCGCAAAACAAACAACAGCAACCCAACTTGCCCAACAGTAGCCCGAAAGCTGTTGTGAAACGGCGACTCGCAAACGTGGTTTAGCTTGGCCATGGCTACCTGAGGAGTTTTGGGTTTCGCCTGGAGACTAGAAGCTTTAGCCCTGAGGCTTCTCTGGTGAGGCCGTTAATTAAGTTTCTGAATTATTGATACATATTTTTGAAAAGCAATTCAGATTCTGAATTGGTTATGGTATCCGTAATTCAGAAACTTAATTCTTGGTTTTATTTTTTAAGATACAATTAAAATCCTGAATTATGGGTGGCTACTGGCTTCTTTAGAACAATACAAGGGTTTAGTAGGACAGGTTGCACCACAGCCCGAAGGCTTCTCCTCAGGTCCATGTCTGGCGACGAGCAGGGTCCTGGGATTGGTAATAGTAATGCCAATCCCAGCCGTATCGCTCGAGAGCATTTCGGTGAAGATCCAAGCACTGACAGAACTCAGGAGTGTCGTTGTACCTGAATGTATTCATGGTTTAGGATTGTAGTCAATGAAAGTTTTATTGTCGGGGGAGCAAAGGAGCTTACAGGTTTCAAGGTTCAAAGGTTTGTAGATTCATGGTTGAAGGGTTGAAATCTAAGGTTTGGGGTGTGGGGTGGAGTTGTAGTGTAGGGTTCTCGATGCAGAAAAATTGTTTCAAGGTTTGAAGCTGCAAAAATTCAGAAACTGAATTTATTATTAAAAAAAATTACAAACAGTTCAGAATCTCAATTGCTGTTCCATCACAGCTGCACGTCGATCAGCCGCTTGGCTTCTTCGCGATCGCCTTTCAGCACTTGGCCAGCCAGAGCCACACACTTGTTCATCCACCTGAGATGTGCAACCCAAGCCCGACAGCTTCTATATGTGTAAACAACCATTGTAGCCGATTGGTTCTTTAATCGAAACAAATTATTTACCCATGCCTTGTCTTCCTTAACTACCTACCTACCTACCACCCTATACCTCTAATATATAGTTACCGAGATATATACTTAAAGATATATAAGGGAGCTACACCTGCCTATATCATATATATATATGTATATATACATACATATCTATGCATGTATGTATATAAACAACAGGTATGCATGTGCATATACATATATAGCAACATACATATAAGCATGCTTTAGCAATGTGGAGATGTGTACATATATATACATATATGTGTATATATCTGTGTGTGTTTATATACCCAGCCATGTTCTAGACACCCATTTATTATCTATGTCTGTATGTGTGTATCTATTGTCTATCTGTGGACAGACCTCTTTATCTATAGATCTACTTTTGCATATCACTATCTATGTCTTCATATCCACCCAAACCTCTCGATTTACACATATCGACCCTGTCGCTTGAGTTATCTCGAGCACAGAGAAGATCATGCTTCGCTTAAGAAGCCCGAAGGCTAGTTGCCCGAAGGCTGAACAATAGACACATGCTTTGCCTAAGAAGCCCGGACACTTTGTTAAGAAGCCCGAAGGCTATGTGTAAGCCAAGGAGCCCGGTCTTCAGGTAACCGGAGACCTCGCCACGGTCAGTGTAAAGCGGTGCTCTTCCTGCTTTTGCTTTTGCATCCGCTGGCTGCTGTGGCGGCTGCTGTGGTGGCTGCGGCTGTGGCATGCTCTTTGCTGCTGTTCCTGGTGGCTCTGCCTCTGCCAGCTCTGCAGCTTCTGGTTGCAAGGTCTCTGTTGGAGGTGGCTCTGGTGCTGTTGCTGCTGCTGCTGCTTTTGCTGCTGCTGCTGCTGCAGGAACCTCCTCTGCCGGAGCTGCTTCAGCTGGAACTGCTTTAGCTTTTGCAGCCTCTTCTGCTGGAGCTGCTTCAGCCGGACCTGCTTCTGCTGGAGCTTCTGGCGGAGCTGTTTCTGCTTTAGCTTGTGCTTCTGCAGCGAACTGATCCAGGAGGTGTTGGGGTGGACCCTTCACCCGAGGGAGAGCCACCTCATCGCCCAGGAAAGCTCTGCCAGAACTCAGCCCGGAGGCTTTTCCACCAGATTTTGCTGGAGGCGGTCCTTTCGGCGGCGGAGGAGGAGGCAGCACAGGCGGTGGAGCAGGCACTATAGGTGGGCCCTTCGCTGCCGGGGAGCCCGCAGGCTTAGGCAGCACCGAGCCCGAAGGCTTCTCCACCCTGGCCTTCTTCACGGAGCTCTCGTCGCCACTCAAAGCGGGGAGTTCAACGATTTCAAACAGAGCCTGGTTCCTTTCCTCGAGGCGAGTGACGTCCTTCAGAGCTTTCTCCAGCAGCTGGAAAGTCGTGCCTCGCCAGCTTTGCTCCAGTTCCACCTGGGCCTTCAAGTTGGCGATCTCGAAGTCCCTCTGCACGATCTGCTGGATGAGGTCTTGCATCGTCCTCAACTGTTTAATTACACAGCCCGAAGGCTTCTCCCAGAAAAAACAGCCCGAAGGCTTCCATCGAATGAACTTATATGATTTCTATTAGGCTTCAAGTAAATCAAGCCCAGGCACACGGTGTCTCTGCTGAGCTCAGGGTTCCAGCGGTCCAGGATGTCAGGGCTTACACCAGGAGCTTTTGCAGCTGCATGCTGAGCATCTGCACCACTAGGACCGCCGCTGCCAGTTGCCATGGCAGCTCGAGAGCTCGAGAGCTCTGGCTGCTGTGCTGTTGTTGCTGTTGCTCTGCTGTTGCTGTGCTGTTGCCCGGCTGGTGCTCTGCGGCTGCTGTGCTGCATGCTGCATCCTGCATCCTCTGTCGAGCACATGTGCTAACCGGCGGCACACATACATTCTGCTCCGAGGCACACATGCAGGCGCCTATGCACAGCCCTCGTGTCAGCTCACATGTGCACATGCCCTCGTGTCGGCTCACATGCACTGCTGGCCCACATCTGCAAGCCCGAAAGCTTTTGAAACAAATCTCGTGTCATGTCTACAGACAGACCCTGTACACCCTGAAGCCCAAACCCGATGCTGTTGCTTAACATACAGACATGAGCCCGAAGGCTTGGATCCCCGCTTCAGGGTAGAGGCTCGTTCCAGGATTCGAGATTTAGGCTTGGTCTTGGGTTGTGGCCACAAGCTTCCAGGTTTAGGGTTTTCTTCTTGAAAGCTAATAAGCCCGAAGGCTCCTCAGAAAACCTGGGGTAGTCATCAGTGCAGATATATATAGATAATATAAAGGTTTTGGGTCGGTCGGGGGTTCCTGTGGGTTTTGGTCTGCTGGCTGCAGGTGTATATACAATCTCGTTTTGAAAGCCAAGCCCGAAGGCTGCTGCTAAAACCTTGGACTGCAGAAACTCACCAATGCTTTTATAGGCATTAGGGTTGCGGGAATAGGGTTTCGGAATGTGTGAGCCCGAAAGCTTTGCATTCGTTGAGGTTCTCTTGAGGCTTATATCCTGTATATTGTCTAAACCCTAAAGCGTAAAACCCTAACCCCTATAAACCTTAAACCCTATACAAACCCGCACAGTCGTATAGGCATCAGCATGCTGCTGGAAACAACATATCTACTGTTGCCTAAAGCATGTTGGACTACTTTTTTTTTTGACCTCGAAGTGCAAAATTTGCAAGGCTTGCCGGCCCAAAAGCCCAGGGTAAAATATACACATAGCAAAAGCTGTACAGATGATCTAAAGTCCAAGCACTGCCTTCGCAGAAGGGACGGAAAGAAAAAGCCCAGAGGCTGCAGCCCTGCATTGATCGAAGCAGCAAAGTCCAGCCACTGCATCTGCAGAAAGGACAAAACAGCAAGGAGCCAGAGGCTGCAGCACCCGAACTGTGCACTTAGTCCTCCGCATTCTCTGAGTCTTCGTCGGGTTGGTTCTTCTTGTCCTTCTTGAACTTGCCACTGCGGACATAGCTGCGAGTCGCCGCCTGGAACTCGAAGGGCTCACTGGTGAGGTAAGAGAAGACCACGTCCAAAGCCTCTGGCTCCAGCAACACCTGAACATCCTCAGACTTCTTGGTGCATGCCCGAACACAGACTGTGCGGCCGTCGCCTATATTAATGTCCACGTGCTCCTTCTCCTGCTCAGCCTGCTGGCTCGCCTTCCGCTTCTTCGAACTAGAGCTCGAAAGCTGCTGATCGCTTCCGAACAAGTCGTCAGACTGTGGAAGCAGCTTCAGCATCTTGTTCCGCTCTGCCTGCAGCCATGACAAGCCCTTGCAAGCCCGGAGGCTGGGATTCTTGGTGGATCCCGGTGCACCGAGCAGGCTGCAGAGGCCGTAGCAAGTAGGTCGCAATTGCAACCAGCGGTCTTCGTGCACGAAGGAGCTTGGCACCACCCACTTTCGGCCAGTCTTCTCAAAGGACAATGCATACTGCCTCTCCACACTCACCATGACTGCGACTCAACCCGAAGGCAAAACTCAAAAGCAGGAGGACCTCAGCCGCACAGCTTTTATGGTTTCACACAGAGGCTCGTTTTCAGCTTTACTCATGCAGATGCACCTGCTGTAACTTTTCTTTTCTCTTCCCCTCGGCGCCGGTGTTTCTTGAGATCCCAGCTGAGAAAGCTTCTGCAGGGCTGCAAAGCTTAAGAGCTGATCAACACATAAATTGATGTATAGGCATTCGGCTTGATTAGAACTGCTATGCTGCACAACATTGCGAATGCGAGCCTGCAGGGCGAAAATTTTGTTCAGACTGCAGAGCCAGAGGCTAATCAAGCATGTGCAGTCCGCTTGAGGCGAAAAGGTTGATTAAACGATTTGGATTGCAGAGCTATAGAACTGATGTACTCAGACATGAAATATCTGCAATCTTCTTCAACCGACAAGGTTACCCATACGATTGCGACTGCATAGACAGAAGCTTTCTACTCAGCTCCTGCAACATCTGCAGCCCCTTCGAGGGCTCTTCACTTCTTGGCCTTCTTCGCAGGTCGACTATTCTGCTCCTCCTCTTCCTCCACCTCCATGGTGAGGAGGGTGTGCTTCTCCATCGGCACGGAGTTCTGGAGCACGACGATCATGTTGTTCTTGCCCACTTGCCACTCGTGCTCCTCCATGCAGCATGGATCCTGCGACCCTGCTGTTTGGCCCCTCTGCACCCACCAGTAAGCACACGTGCTCCCAGTGTCTGGCTTCGCCAAGCCGTCACCCTTTCGATAAATGGCGGGTGGAAGGATATAGAAATCCGTCCCTCCGAACTTGAAGAAGCCGTATGGCTTTTTCTTATCGGGCTCCTTTTGAACCAGCTTGTGGGGCGAATCTGTCGAGGGAACCAGCATGAGGCCGCCTTTGGGAATCTTCACAGAAGTGTAAGCTTTTTTGCCTGTGCCATCCAAGCAAATGTAGTTCCACAACTTGTCGTACTTCTCCGCCTGTTTCAGCAAATAAACCCAGGCAGCGGCTTGCATGGCCTCCATAGCAAACAGGTGCTGCACATCCCTGTTCTTGCAGATTGTAGCCGGCAAGAGCTCGGGAGCTGATTGCTTCGTGGCCTTGAGGAGCTTGACCGCCTTCACCGTCGGGATGTCCCTGCTCTCCGCCTCGAAGAGATCGCAAAGCTCTAGAGACAAAGTGGCCGATGACATAGCTACGAGCTTCCACATCCTGTCCTCCATGATGTAGTTCATGCCAAGTTCCAGCTTGATTTGCTGCATCGCTTGGTAGAGGGGGTCGTAGTTCTCGCTCAAGCTAGCCACACTGGCTCCTGCATTTTTTTTCTGCTGTAGCGGTGACAAGGCAGCAGCCACCCCAGCCATTTGGTCATTGAAGAGTGCCCGGATCTCCGCAAGGGACTTGTACGTCTTGGCCTCTCGACCCATCTTCCTCAAATGTTGACCAATCTAGAGGTCTCTCTCTTTAGGCTATAGGGGTCGTCAGATGTTTTGAGAATGCCAGCATGCACAACAAACCAAGAAATCAAACGAATCAAGCGACTCTTTCTGGAGCACATGGAGTGCCATGCGAATGCAGCACTTGCCGAAGGTGCGGACCGAGTCCAAGCTCGGAAGCTCCTTCTCTGCCACTCGCCAGCACTCGTAGAGCTGCTGCTCCATCTCATTCACCTTCGGCTGAAATTTGGCGCTTTTCATTTTGGTCCAGTCAGCCTGGACGATCAGCTTCGCATAGCCGTCAACCATCTTGTGCCCAGGAGCTGCATAGTTGGTCGCTAGCATGGCCAGCCGAACCATTGGCATTGCCGCATTGCCAGCGAAAGTGCCTCTGCCTGCGGCCATGGCCCAAAAATCTTCTCCCAGATTACAGTTGCCTCCATGCTCTCGGCTAAACGGCGAAAGGAACTGGGTGAGAAACTTTCCGCCGTCGCTGAACTTTTCGAGCCATCGGCACAAAAACGGAGAGTATTGCATCAATGTCGTCCCAACAGGCACCACCTCGGAGGCGACGGCCTCAACATCGATCTCCTTGCCCTCAGCGATCTGCTTCTGCATGATCTCCTGCATATGAAGCATGCTCTCTACTTCCATCGTCGCCGTGAAAGCTGAGTTGGAGCTGTTCATTGCCTTTTCGGCCAATGAAGGCAGCTGCGGAAAGGCGGACTCAGCCCGAGAGCTAATCACCAGCCAAGTCCACCCTTCGGAGAGCATCTCATTCAGATGGCTATCTCTGCCCAGGGCCTCCCTGTTCAGTCGGCCTGTCTGGTCGGCGAGAGACAGCACGGGTGTCTGGCAGCTGCAGAGGACGGCCTTCACAAACTGAGTTGTGTGCCCGCAACTCACGGACAAGTATCTTTCTGCACCCTGCAGCGGCGCCAAGAGCCCGGAGGCTTGCTCCACCAACTTACGGTTGAACTCCAGCTGTTCAGCCAGTCGGCTCGGCTCGTGGCTGATCTCGAAACCTCATGCAGCAAATGGGCAGATACACCGCTTTGTCATACTTGCAAACAACAAACTCAGAGCAGCCAAGCAACAGACAGCTGAATGGAGGAATTTCATGTCGAAGCCGCTTTTGGCCAGGGCTTCGCCTTTCAGGTGGCACCCATGTCCACTGACACCGAGACCGCCCCTGTTGTGGTTGTGGACCAGCATGCTGCTCGCTTGCAACTTCGCCCGCCATGCCAGTCCACCCTCGACCAACTTGTCAGCTACTCGCTGCCACCGGCTGAGTAGCGGGACGGATGTGTCATCGAGCACAGCCTGCACGGCTTTTTGCAGCTCGGGAGTGACGTCCATGATGCTTCCGGAAGTGAAGCTTTGCACGGTTGCTAAAGGCGGCAGGAGTTTTTTGTGCTTGCGAAAAGGTTCTGCATGGTCCAGGAGTACTGGAGCAGTCCTGCTGGAAGTGTACTATATAGAAACATGATATAGTGCATGGCGAATGTCCTTACCTGCTGTTTTTCTCTCTGGCCCCGAACTTAAGGGCCGTACTGCCATCCTGCAAGCCGTCGGCTCTGCAAAACTTCGAGAATGCACACATGCCCAATCGCAGATACCAGCTGTGCCAGAATGTGCTGCTGCACTTGCGATCACCATTCTCCATGCAACAGCAGCAACAAATATGCATGGTACATGGACAGCCTTCAGGCTCGCACCTACACTAAACAGCCAGACGGCTTGACTACAGATCATGCATATCATGACAGCCAGATGGCTGCTCCTGAAATTGAGCCACCGGGATGTCGCAATTGGCAACATGTCCGAATGCTTTGCCATGTCCTCGGAGTTACATCTCCATTTCTGTCAACTTCCTGCATCCAACAACTCAAATCCTCGATCTGGAGCCTTGGAATTTCCTTGAGACAAGTTGCAAGCTGCAGGGTTGTTAGATGCAACTGAAGGGCGTTTGGAATTCAAAAACAGCCGCATGGCTTTCACAAAACCAGAAATCGCCATGTTCGCCTACTGTAGAATCTAGTGAGCATGGCATGAAAACGTGTGTCCGAAACAACGCACGGGTAGTTAGCTAAATACTTAAATCCGGATATGCTAACTAGTTAGTAGCCCTTCTAGGACTTAGCTAAACAGTTGTTAAGTTTGCCTAAACCATTACTTAATCATTTGGCTAAATGCAGGTAAGCAGTTAGTTTGTTGGGTAAATCTTAGTAGCACTTCAGTGGGTTAGATAAACAAATACACAACTTTCATAAGTAACATAAGTATTAAAGTTGTTTAGCAATAGTTAAAACGACTTATATTCATTTATACATACTTAATAACAGGATATATCCTCTTGCTAAACAGATACAGCTCTTTATTAAATACATATATGTTTCGTAAAGAACATAACCGCGAGCGATCTTTAAAGTACCACGGGGACATGTGCGAATGGGTGGCCTCGCTGGCGCATGGGCCGGGCGAGCCAAGCCGCGAGACCTACTTGGGAGAAGGTGCCTCGGAAGCCGACGATTGGGAACGGTGGCACCGCATGCAACAGCTTCGTGCTCAGGTCCTGGGTTCTTCGGCGGCCCAAAGGCTTCTGAGAAAGCGGCGTTTCGTGACGAACGCCGGGGACCAGACACGCTACAAGGCGGCCGGCGACCTGACAGACCAGGCCTTCAGCGGGGCGGTTCCGGAGGAGTGCCCGGTGCTGGGCTATGACAAGGAAGCGCCCCAGAGCTACCCCATCGACCTGACAACCTGGAGGAGATCGAACGGGACGAGGGCGAAGAGGCGCCCGAAGGGGAAGCGAGCAATCAAGGGGCGCCGCCTCCCGTTAAGGAGCCAAGCCGGCAGGAGAAGGAAGCAGTCGAGAAGCTTCACCGGAACTTGGGTCACCCAAGCAATGCTTCTTTAGCCAGGACCCTAAAGGTGAGCGGCGCGGAGGAACACATATGGCGGTGGGCGAAGTCCACCTTCCGCTGCCCAGCTTGCAGCTCTGGCGTCCTTCCGAAGCCGGCGCGGCCAGCCACGATACCGAGGTGCTATGCTCCCAATGTGGTTGTGGCGGTGGACCTCTTCGAGCTCCCCACTTGGAACAATGACGGTTCGGAGCGCTACTTGAATGCGGTCTGCCTGGGCACCAACTTTCAGATGGTAGAGAAGGTGCGCAGCAAACAGCCAGGAGCAGTGTGGGCAGCTCTGGCGCGATCGTGGGCCAGGGTCTTGGGCTTCCCGCAGATTATCTTGCTGGACCAGGGCACCGAGTTCTTAGGCGAGTTCCGCCAGAACGCCCACGACCTCGGCATCCTCATCCACACCATTGGCGCGAGGGCGCCGCGCCAGAACGGACGGGCAGAGCGGCACGGAGCTCTCTTCAAGGCCATGTTTCAGAAAGCCCTTTGGGCCAACCCGGCCACCAGCAGCGAGGACTACAAGGTGCTTTTGCGAGAAGTGGAATCAGCCAAGAATCGCCTCTCGGATAGGAGCGGTTTCTCACCGGCTCAACGTATGCTGGGGGAAACACCTAGAACTACGGGCGAGCTGCTGGCGGACGAGATGGTGGATGTGGTCCTGAAGGGCGTGACGGGCGAGATGGAGAAGAGGCTTCAAGCGAGAAGGGCCGCTCAAAAGGCCTTCGCGGAGGTGAACACCTCCCAAGCGGTGCGCCGTGCCATGCGGGCGCGAGCTAGGACCCAGAGGACCTTCAGGCCGGGCGACGTGATTTTTGTTTGGCGGTCCTGGAAGGCCCAAGGGATCAAGAAGCAAGCCTGGGTGGGTCCCGGAGTTGTCGTTCTCCCCGACGGACCCAACTGCTATGTGAATGTGAAGGGCAGGTTGTGGCGAGTGGCGAACGAACATGTGCGAGAAGGGACCTCCGATGAAATAAGGGGGATAGAGGCGGTGCATGAAGTGTTCCAAGACCTAAAGGAGCGCTTCCAGAGGCCGGGCCGTGAGCTTGGCGTCGTCGAGGACCTGACCCATGCAGGAGCCTCTACCTCCACGTGATCGAGATGAACCTCGTGACGATCCTGTGCGGGCTGAAGGTGACGCTCGGGGACTACCTAGAGCCAGGGTTGAAGATCCGGAGCCGCCGGTACCATTCCCCGAAGTGGCGGTGCCGGTTCAGGAGATTGAGGAGGCGATGCAAGAACCTCCGTTGCCTGAGCCACCGGTTCCCGAGGTCCCAATTCCTATGCAGGACCTCCCGCGTCATGTGTCGCAGGCGTCTGCTGAGGAGCCCGAGGTGGAAAGAACAGCCAGCCAGCCGGAAGCCGACGTTGAGGCAAGGGTCAATGCAGGGCAAGAAGCGATTCAAGCAGCTCGGCAGCTGGATGGTACGCCGTATGGAGCCATTCGGCCTTCGACGGTGCCACGCCTCGGAGCCTCGGCTCCGTACTTGACCGAGGCCGTGCAGGACGACTACTTTGAAGAGCCGGCCGTGCCGCCGACCGTGTTGGAGGAGAGAGCCCCAGAGCAACATGCACATCGAGACCGGTGGCAGTTCATGATAGACAAGGGGGTTCTCCGGCGGCACCATGTGAAGTGGCGGTCTAGCTCCTTCTCTCCTTGGGAAGCTCCCAAGCTTCCTGTGCCAATGCGGCACCTGACTTCCGAAAGGAGCACCACTCGGGTCTTCAAGACAGGCCTCACCGACCAAGTGAGCGACGACTGGAAGGAGCTCAAGCCTTCCAAACGTAGCCATGGAAAATGGAAGGGCTACACCGACTTCTACCTCACCCGTGCATCGCTGGTGGAGGCCCAGAAACACCCCGAGATGTTCCACACCGCGGCGGTGCACCAGGAGTTCCTGATCGAGTCCGAGCCGCCGGGCATCTTCGCAGTCAAGAAGGGCGGTGACGAGATCGCCGAGAAAGACATAAAGCCAGAAGACTGGCCCGAGTGGAAGGCCGAGGATGCTAAGGAATGGTCCAAGATAGAGTCGTCTGGGGCGGTCAGGGTCCTATCCCCTGAAGAAAGCAAGGCGGTGATCGAGCAGCTGACCAAGGAGGGCAAGCTGGACCGGATCATCGACAGCCGCTACGTGAGGCGACTCAAGCCGGGAGAGCTGGTTGGCGAAAAGCCAGCTAAGAAGAGCCGTTGGTGTGTGCGGGGCGACCAAGATCCAGAAGCCGTGGACCTGAATACCTACAGCCCCACAGTCACCACGCAGAATTTGCAGGTGATCCTTCAATGTGCGGCTTCACACCGCATGCCGGGCTCTTGTGGAGACCTGCAGGCTGCTTTTATGCAGTCGGCCCCTCTCCTTCGACCAGGCGGAAAGCTCTACGTGCGTCAACCGAGAAGCGGGTTGCCGGGACTGCTGCCAGAACAATTGGTGGAAATCGTGTGTGGCGTCTACGGCTTGGTCGACGGGCCAATTCACTGGCGCCAGACGCTAAAGCAGTTCATCGTTGAAGAGCTCCACTTTCGCCAGTCTCGATTGGACCCCACCGTGTTTCTGTTGGGGCAGGCCGGGAAACTAGAAGGCATCCTGGTCATTGAGATCGACGACATTTTGTCGTTCGGCTACCAGGCCCATGACGAGGCCATGGCCAGACTACGCCAGCGGTTCAAGTTCGGCAAGTTCAAAAGCCTACAAGAGCTGCCAGAAGGTACTACCTTCAACGGCCGGCGTATTCGCCAGACGCCTGGGTTTGAGATTTTGGTCGATATGGAGAAATACGTTCAGGAGCGCCTCTTCCCCATGAAGTTCGAGAAGGGCAGGCGCAGCAACCCAGAGGCGGAGGCAACGGCCGATGAAAGGCAGAAGGCCCGAGCTGTGATCGGGGCGTTGGCTTGGGCAGCTAAAGAATGCCGACCAGACGCAGCGGCTGCAGCGTCTATGCTTGCAAGCCGCTTACCAACGGCCAAAGTGAAGGACCTGGTAGACCTCAACCAGGCAGTCGAGGCAGTGAAGGCCAAAAGCCAGTTGGAACTGCGCTTCTTTCCGATTGCTCCTGAAGACCTGGGCTTCGGAACAGTGACCGATGCTTCCTGGGCCAATCATCCAGACGGCGGTTCGCAAGGAGCCACAGCGGTGATAGCTTTTGACAAGGCGCTCTTGTCGGGGGCCCGAGCACGCTGCAGTTTGGTCTGGTGGAAGTCGGGCAAGCTTCGCCGCAAAGTTTCTTCAACCCTCGCTGCGGAAGCTCAGTCGCTGAACAAGGGCCTCGGCGACCTACTGTGGGCCAAAGCCATCTACACCGAGCTGGTGGATTCGAGCTTCGATCTAGAAAGCTTCCGCCGGGATATAAAGTCCAAAGCGGATGTGGTGCTTCAGAAGTCCAACGCCGACGAGATCCTCCGCGAGTCCTTGTCGGTGATCGACGCTAAGAGCCTCTACGACAACTTGGTTAAGGACGGCAATCAACCGCAAGATAAGTTCACGGCCTTGGACGTTGCGATTGCCAGAGAAAAGATAGACGGCATGGGCGTGCAAGTGAGATGGGTGGAGCACCAAAGTATGATCGTCGACTGCCTCACCGAGGTGAAGGGCAGCAAGCAGGCGCTATTCGACCTGCTGGAGTCCGGGACTTTTCGGCTGGAGGCTGAAGGCGAGCTCCTGGAGGACCGGCTGGTGCGGCGACAAGAAGGGCGAGTGAAACCTCGCTAGTTTTTCGCCAACAGGTCAGCATAGTTTTGAGGGAGCTGTGAATCGGCTTTCTGGTGCCTTGCAAGTGGCACTCTCCTGACCTGTGGCGTTTCGGCTTAGGGCCCTTGAGTCTAACGACTACCGTTTGTAAGCAGAGGAAAAAGCCATTGCATTCGCCGACGCTGCGCTTTTAAACTCCGTGCTGTCATCAGGTGAGATACCGTTTTGTAAGGCAATGTCGCAACACTTCCACTTGCTTGCGCCATGCCGAAACGGTGCTTTCGTCTTCTGTTGCTTGGTCCGAGGCTTGGAACGACGAGCCCAAGATGGTGAATCGATGGAATACCCTGGTGCTCCCGGACACGTCCTGTTAAGCTTCTGTGCTCCTGCGCAGAGTGGCTCTCTAGCCGGTGACTCGCCTGCGCGAGATTCGCCTGGTTGCAAAGCGGCGCCGAATGCAAGACGTTTTCCAGGCAGATCCTGTTCAGTATTCGTTGCAGCAGGGCAGTTAATGGTGAGCTGACGTGTCTGCTGCATTCGTTGGTGGCCTCTGCGCTGAAGGACAGCAACCTTGGGCGCATAAGCTTGTCTCGTGTCCTTGCAGGTCTATGATGCCATGCGAGCACTGTGGGTTCGGGCGGACCGAACGGCTTGAACCGCGTACTTTGTACTGCATCGGATCGAAAACGGAGCTCTTCAAATGAAGGGTCGTGCAACCTGCTGGCTTCTGCAGGATCACGGGACAACGGAGTTTATTGCAAGAGCAGCAGTGGCAACCCCAAGAGCGACACAGTCTGCGATAAGAATTCCATGCTCTGCATGCTGACAGGTGGCCACCGTGGATCTTAGTGGCCTTGTGGACTCGCCAGGGGCTTTGTTGGCCGAAGCTCTGAAGACGCTCCTTTTACGGCGATCCTTGAGGTTTCATACGATGCCTCCAGCTCGATATCCCGAGGTTGTTTTTGTGGGCTGGCCCGTTTCCGAGACACTCTTCACATGAGGGTTTCCGGCCTCCGGATGACCAGCGTTTGCACGAGACTAAGGTCCAACGTCGGGAAAAGCTCCTTAATCAACTCCCTCCTCCATCGCACTGCCAAATGCTCAGCATCTTGCCGAGGTGGATTCTGGCGAATATACCAGGACCCTGCTTGTACCCTCAAATAGGGGTCTATGGTCCTAATCGTAGGTATTTAGGGTCGAATAGAGGGTAGAAGGAGGTTCTAGGTACACTAGGCTGCAGATGTTCGGTTGAAATATCTCATGTTGAGCGCTTTGATGTGTCAGGCTGTGGCCCCGGTGTCTACGATGCCCGGGAAGACGCACCTTCCTCAGCAAAGCCTGTGCGCCTCTGAATGCGTTGATGTCGTGCAGTCAGTGCGTCTTTTGCGTCACGAGGACTCAGTTCCATTTCTATACCATCAACGAGCACAATGCAGCTTTCCCTAGGATGACGCTGGTTGATGTGCTCTCCCAAGATTTGTTTTTAGTTGACATCTCGGCTTGGATAATTTGTTGCTTGCCGAGGTTCCTGGCATTGGCGAGGCCATGGCAGACGAGGTGCAGACGAGGCCACTCCTTTCCAAGATGGTTGAGCCCTGAGCCGGATGAGAAATGCGGGCCCATGATGGCTTTCCGGGGTGTACGTGGACGCCCCAGGGCCAAGAGATGACGTGCTGTCTCGAAGCTATGCAGTTTGTTTCCCAGCTGCAGGCTGCAGCTTGTGGACTTTGTTGCAACACAGTGTATTCTGTGCAGACAGCAAGAGCAAGAAGTCTCGCTGATGCTCTGAGCTTTTGCCCTCGCTCTGTGAATCAAGTGCTATTTGCAGTAAAAATGTCGATCGACAGGCACTGGAGGCGAACTCTCGACTTGTGCGCCTATGCACAACCTAGTTCGACGGATGGAAAGCATGGTCGAGTACCTGGGTCTCTTTGGGTGTCTCTTCCGTCCTCCCCGTCTGCATAGCATTGCAGGTACCTGAAAGAGCGTGGTCCGACGTTGCGCCAGGTTTTTCACCTGATCAGCTGCGAGGCCAAAGTCCTGGAAGTAGACATTGTAGTGTATGTTTGTTTTGCATCCATGCAAAAAAACATACACTATGCAATGTACGGGAGTCCCAATCTCTTTTCAAGATCTGGATCCTGTAGGTATTGTTACGTCGGCAAAAACCATCTCCTTTGGACATTTCGGTGATGGAGCCTCTTCTGCCAATGTGATAGCCGAGATTTTCATGGAGCCGGTGAGAGCTAAGGAGATGTGCCTCCATCACCGAAGCAAGTTCAACCTGGACTACACCTTGGTGCCTGGCCTGGACTTTAGACCTGCTGTGGAAGCCGGCCAGACGAGAGGGATCGACATGAGGTGATCACAAAGATTGATCTCATTAGGAGCAAGAAGGATGCCGAGCCGTTCCGGCCTGACTTTAAGTGGGCAGAGACAGATGGATAAAGATGTGCAACTCGCCAGGACTGTGTACGAGAACCTGTGCAAAGTTGTTCGCAGGCTTCGACTTGGCTCGGCGAAGGCCGCGATGTCAATCTCGCGCCTAAAGAGAATGTCCACAATGTGACCAAGCAGAGTGTTCGGTTTAACTCGTGCCGCGCAGCCATGCTGACAGATTGTCCCAGCCAGCGTCCGCAGCACCACTGGCCGCGTGCTGCTTTGGAAACGCTTGTGGAGGTAGCGGCCCCCGGATAATCTAGGGGGACAGGCTGCAGTGATGAAGCATGACGACAAGTCTTTCAAGAAGTAGATCACAGTTATGCTCGGCTTCCGCGGATGAAAGGCGTTCATTCCGATAGAGTAGTGAGATGCCCGAAGAAGGGGTGGCAACTTGTGCAGCCGTATGAGCTTCAGACGACTGCATGCGCACGAACTGCAATTTCGCAGCCGTGACGGTAAAGACGAGCTCGGGTTTGGCGCGGCAGGTCCGTGGATCCCGAAAACAGTGCCTGGCACTCGTCGCAGGATCTCAGCGCCCTCCGCCAGGCGAGGCTTCGAGTCTGGGGTCGATTCTGAAAAACGTAGGACAGCCTTTGCTTAAAGGATCGTGGGACTTAGCAACTAGGGATATATTTAGGGTAACTATACTTATGACTCCTTAGGTACCGTGCGCAATCCTTAGAACGCTCCAAGGATCTATAGGGTTTAGGGTTTAGGGTCTACTTGAAGGATCATGGGACTTAGGAACTATAGGGTTATATTGAAGGTAACTATACTTCTGACTACTCAAGTACCGTGCGCAATTCTTAGAACACCAAGCGTGTTTCCCGACGGGGCGGGTTTGGGCGGTGCACAGTTTGCCTTGGCGTTTCCCGACAGGAGGTGGAGCGGCTAGTCGAAGCCAAAGATGCCGAGGCTTTGATCACACGAGCAAAGGAGGCAGCCTGCAAGCCGAGCGGAGCCCATGCAAGTTTGTGTTTGAGCTTCTTTCTGGTTTGGTCCGAAGCGTGGTGTTGCCAGGTCAAGCTGTACTGCTGTACCAATTGTCATGGCTGCACAGGAGTCTGGAGATGGATGGGAATGCATCGTTCGCGGAATCCTGGCTCTTGGAAGACTCCGTGATGCCTGGAACATCATCCAGGCAGCTGCAGTTGACTGCTGTAATCTTCACTGGAAGCTTTCATGTTTGCATCGCAGTCCCGCGAGGAGAGCCCAAAAAAGCTTAGAATGCAGGGATGGAGCGGTGCCACGAATGGACAAGCAGCAGATGCTGCGATTGTCATCTGCCATCTGCTGTTGCTGCTGCCGGGTCCTCCTTGATTTGCTACTTTTTTTTGCTAGAACGATGCAGAGCTCTGCCTCTATCTCTCTCTTTCTCTCTCTGCCTCTTTCGCGCCCTCGCGCTCGCGCTTGTTTGAAGACTTCGATAACTCCTGCATGCTACAACAGGGCTTGTTTTCGCCGTGAGTGTAACGTCGCAGCTCGTGCCGGACACTTTTCACTGCAGACCCGCCAGAGCCCCTCAGCCTTAGTGCAGAGCCCGTGCCCGGAAATCGTGAAAGCCTGCTTTTTGTCTCGCCAAAATGCTGCACTTTGTGTCCCGTCGTGGCTTCTTATGCTGAGGCGGTTTGATGATTGCAGCCATCAAGCTTCTCGTTTACTTTCGCACGTGCATCAGCTTCCGATCGCCCTAGCTCCAACGTCACCGAAAACTCCATCGACACAACTGTGGGTGGCGGGTGGACGTCGCAGTAGTCGTGATTAAGCGCCTACCCCTTTAATTTGTGAGAAGCACTGCCTGGCAGCGTGGGTACCGCCAGCCTGCTAGGCCGGTCCGCAAAGAGCTAGAGGCGCAGAGACAGCAGCAAGCACACAGAGAGGGGGCAATGCAGACACTCTGCGTCAGGTTTGGAAGAGCAGGATACTGCGGAGGTCCTTCGGTTGCCTTGCTGTTGCCTGGATCATCACCCAGTGCTGTTCCCTCCTTGAAACACGGAGGATGGTATGGAAAATGACATGGAGATGCTCAAGGAGGGCCTTTTGGAGGCTCGGCGTTTCAACGCTTTTTTTCGGCTTCGTGGGGTTTGCTGCGCCAGGCTGCAGAGGCCGGGGAAGAAGCTGCAGAAGACAAGGCCAGTCGCTGCTCGTTGCCCGGTCCGATTCTGCACCAACTGGGCCGTAGTGGGTTTGAGAAGCGAAGGCTTTTGGGGACGGCAGCAAGTTTGCTCTCTCATGTTTGCGTGCAAGGACGAGGAAGATGCACAAGAGGTGTCGGAGGCTGTTTTGCCGTTGCTGGGTAGTGGTGCGTGTAGGTCATGGCCTAGATGCTGCTTGAGATCGGAAGTGTGTACTGCACGATCGGAGTTCGCTCACGTTGTGCGTATGTGAGCTTTTTGCGCATGACTCGTGTGCTTTTTGCCCAGATATATAGTAAGACTCGGGTTACTCGTGAGGAAGAAGCAGGGGCGGACTTCTTCGCCATGCCTGAAGACCTGGAGTCTGAGCAGATGGCTGCCATGCAGGTGCGCAGTGCTCGGGATAAAAGCCGCAGTTGAAACCCTAAACCCTAAACTCTAACTCTAGGCCCTTTAAGATCCTTTGAGCATTTTGAGCCCTTTATACTTTTGGTTGGGCCCTTTGAGCCCTCGAAGATGCTTCGCTCTGAGAGGAGAGGGCGGCCCTTGCAGTGGGCGAGGCGGCCTTGGCACCGAGTTCGGACGCGGGCGAGACCTTGCAAGGGCCTTGGCCTTGGCTGTTTCCGGAGAAAGCATCGAAGAAGAGACGACAAGACACATTCTGCAAGTAGCCTGTCAGCCTGTTGTGTGGGGATGGGAGAAAGCAGGGCCGTATGAGCATTCAACTCCACTGGAGGCTGGCCCCGCGTGATCCCGCGCTGGCCGAGGAAGTTGCAAAGATGCTGAGCAAGGAACATCGTGGGGCGGCGGCAGAGCTGCTGAGCCTCGGATGCAGATGCCTGTAGCCCGGCACCAGCAAGCTGAAAACGTGCAGTATCCGCTTTTCAGGATGGAGCAGGTCGTTGCCTCCGCACGGCTCGAGAGTCTCGACTCGGGCCAGTTTCCCGGCAGCTTCGGAAAGCTCGAAGCGCTGCTGAAGCAGGCCAAGGAGGCCCGGGACGCATGGCGACGCATGGTGCACGAGGCGTTTCGGAAATTGATGGAGCTGTACGGAGCCAGGATGCAATCTTCACGCCCTGGAGTGCCGACCGCCCGCCCCACACAAGCAGCCTTGCCCTTCGACCGACATGCCAGAGACTCCACTGTGAGGCTGGAACAGGTTGCTCCGAGTGGTCGGCAGTCAGTCCAATCCTCAAATTGGGCTTGCATCTCCGAAGCATCAAGCCTCCGTTGAGCAGTAGCAGGGGCAACTTGCCGGCTGTTGAGAGAGCTCTGCCCTCAGCAAGAAGATCAGCTCGGCAGCATGAGACTGGCACTGCGTTCCCAAGTTCTAGGTGCTGGACTACATGTCACAGTTTCAGGTCACTGGTGACCAGGCGCACAGACTACAGTCCAACGCAATGTTAACCAAGCTGTCCGGCTTTGCAGCGATGGTGCTTCTAGTCGACTATATAACAACGGTGTTGGTTATCATGATGATCACTGTTATAGTATGTTATTGTGTCAATCACAGCTGTATGAAGCCTCTACTCCGAAAGGAAACGGATGCTGTCATGGCCGAGTTGGTCTGGGGCTTGGGCTGGGAGCTTGCATGCACAGAGGAAGGCGGCTCTTTCCTTCCAGGTCGTGTCATCCGTGGACTTGGGCGGGCAGGCTTGGATTACTCAGACAGGACACCCCCACAACCCTAGACCCTAAGCTCTCAACCCTAAATGCTCTAAATTAAATTCCAACACTCAAAACCAACTAAGAGGGTTTCATAAGCTGGTGGAAACCAGCTTCCGGAGGCCGTGGGCCCCTGCGAGCCCGGATCCACAGAGAGTACTGTGTTTTTCCTGGCTTCTCGCCACTTCCTTTTCGCTCCTCTCTCTGCCTCTGACCAAGGCTGGACGAAGGCCCCGGAGCCACTCCCAAGGCTCCGGGAAAAGGGGCGGTGGAGAGGAGGTGTTGGGTGTCGCCTCCCGCTTTTTTTTTGTTCAGGTGCTCTTCCTTGGTGGTCGTAGCTTCTCCTCGCGAAAAGGAGGCAAAGCCCATGAGAGCTCCTCCTAGCACCAGGGACCTGTTTTGTCGCAGGTGGCTTAGGCAGATCTCTCAAGACGACATGTTGTGTGCTTCCTTGCCGCTTTGGCTCTGCACAGAGGTGTTTCTGCATCTTAAATCACGCAGCAACCGCCACCATATGCTCAGCACCGCCATGTGACAAGGAAAGCCCTTTACCAAAGTCGAACTCTGCTCACATACCGAGAGAAGGCTCCGGATCCACGGATCGCTGTCATCACTAAGAATGGACGCAATGAATGGACAGATGGGCGGAAAAACCAAGCCGGGTGCACCTCCCTGTGCATCTCGGGATCATTTAGAGAAGCCGGCGTCTGGATCGAGATGGGGGCCAACTACTGCTGTCTAGGACCTTCATGCCATACTACGTTTACTAAGGCACGGGTTTTTGTCAAGAACCTTCCCGGTGGCTCGACCGACGACAGTGTGAGGGCGATCTTCGAGAAGTTTGCGAACGTCCAAGGCGGATCCGCTCTGGCTTATTGATCTCTAGAATTCTGCACTCCGCATGTGGGGGGGAAAACTGATGTGAAGACATTGTTTCGGACTCCTGACCCTATGCTGGCGTATTGCAAAGGGAGAGGCATCTCGCCACAGATGAAGGGCCAATCAATAAGTTCGGCCCCCTGACATCGTGAACCCATTCTAAACTAGACATCTCTCCTCGCCCTTCGATGTCAGTAGTAGAGAAGGGCAAACCCTGGCCAAAGGCGTCAAAGTTCTTGCGCCTTCCATGGGCAGAACGACACTCGCGGGCTATGTTACCTTCGCAAGCGTGGACGAGGTGTTGAGTAAAGAGTAGAACCGAGAACACAGGGAGTTGCAGGTTGCATGGAAGCTGGCTGAAGACATCCGTTCTTAAGCTCAAGTGGGTACATGACAGGGTTGCGATTGAGCGGCTCTTATTGGTCTGGGGGAAGTATCTTCTGCTGCGAACATGTAGGCTTGTCTTTAGAACTGCTGCTTCCAGCCACTCAACTGGGTAGAACGGCTTGTGCGAAGCTGGGTTTTTGCCTATGGATGTCCAAGCATGGTGCAAGAGTTGGCTCAGCAATGCCCCAGTATCCTCAACCCTGGGCAGCATAGACACGATCCACACTATACCCACATGCAACGAGGCGACATGGGTTGTCGAGAACATCAGTGACCATCCCCTTGAGGGCCTGGCAGAACCTGTGCAGCTTTGCAGCATTCTTCTAGCACTTCAGACTGGTATCAGAGGAAACCTAACGGACCTGAGACCCCTTCTGCCAGGTCAATAAGTTTTGCTTACGAGCCGGACAGCGTCAAAGGCATCAGCAAAGGCCTCCTGTTTCAGCCGCTTCCTGCTGAACAGGCCAAAAGTAGAATGAATAATCAGTATAATGATTACATGCATAGACAAGCGTGTGCACATGTTGCTGCTACATATCGAGTGCAAACACCTGGGCTGCAAGCTTCTCAGACAATTTTGCTTTGCGTTCTGGCATCGGTACATCTTTGCCACTTGCCATGTTGGTCATTTTGTGAAGGCTACATGGGAAAAGGCAGCATGATGTGTGGAGCTTGGCATTTGTGTGTGCGGCACTGACTGGTCGATTGCTTCCGTAGCTGTCGCATGTCCAAGGATGGGAAAAGGCATGATGAAAGGAGGACCCTACGGCAAGGTTGGTGGCTACAAGGGCAGCTACAAAGGTGGACCGATGGATTACAAGGGCGGCATGGGAAAAGGTTCCGGCTATGACGACTATGGGGACTACGGCGGGTACGGAGGCTATGGGAGCTATGGAGGCTACTCAGACTACAGCGGTGGCTATGGCCCGAAGGGAGGCGGGATGAGCGGAATGAAAGGCCCAGGAATGAAGGGCCCCATGGCCAAGGGAGGGATGGGACCAATGCCAGGCACCATGAAGGGCATGTCCAAAGGCATGTCATGGGGCAAAGGCTATTAGGCGTGGGCAACTACACCCCCAGATGCTCTAGCATCTCAGCTGCACTTCTCCTCTTCAGAGCAAGTCAGCTTCGGATGAATTCTGTGCTTATCTCACTAAAGACCAAGGAACGGAGCCAGGAACCGCTGGTGAGTGACGTTAGCATGTCTCCAATAGGGCATCCGTTCAACTGTCAGGCTAGGCTGTGGCTCCGTGATGGAAACTCAGACAGGGTGAGTCATACTCAGTCAGGGTCACAGCACCAGCCGTCTGTTGTAACGTGTAGTGTTACGATGGGAGCCAAGCATTTGCACTGCTGACCTAACTGACATAACAAGAGGCACAGTGCGTCCAGAAGTGTGATGACTGTGAGTTTCGTTGGTTCATGGAACATGAAGTGAACCCACTCCGCAACGCTGGGGTGGGCACAAGGACGACTGCATGCAGATAGCACCGCTGTCATGCCAGTTCGGCTTAACTTAAATATGCTCTGCGTGGCCACGCTTTAGTCAAAAGCGATTGCCGAGGCTTTCGTTGTGTTGCCCCTTCGTCCGTGCGTTTGAGTTTCGCAAGGAATTCTTTTGAGAACTGCGTTGTCGTGGCCAGGCCCTGATCGTGCTGCCATAGCGGATGCCATTGTATCCACGATTCCGAGACGGAGGACAGATCGTGGGAGTTTTGAAAGAATCCACAGAAAGCTCTCCAGGATCGAAGATGAACTCGCAGCTGTGAGCAGGGAACCTGCTCGCAAGACCCGAGGCTGACAGACGCCTTGTCGTGTCGGTTTTTGCAATCCTTCTTATGTCGATTGTCGTCTTCGAACGCGCTCCCTTTTGCTCTGCGTCTTGCTCTTCCTTTCACCTCGCTTCACCTCCTCACTCCCTCCCGACGTTTTTCGTTCAATAGTTTTCTTCGTATCGCACTTACTGTTGCTTTTATTGCTACTCTTGTTTAACATGCCCTACCCTGTTACCTCCGGAGTTGGCTAGCTCTAATCTTGGTGATCGGCTATAGGGCCGTGATCAAGCTGTGATTGAGTATCGCGTGATAGCCCCGCGACCTCAGCTCACGGCTTGATCACGGCCCTATAACCCATCACCAAAATTAGAGGTAACCCGGTAGGTTATATCATTGTTGTTGGTTTTTGTTTCTCCTCTCTCTCTCTCTCTCGCTCTCCCTTCTCTCTTCTTCCTGCCCGGAGATCAGGCAAGAAGTCTGCGCAGCCGTGAGCTCAGCAGTGACCGGCCACTTCTTTCACAGGTCCCTGGCTGTTCAGAGCAGCAGCGCAGGGCATTTAGAGGCTTTTCTTAGGGTTGAGCGAGCCTTCTTGTTGAGTCTAAACAGCGGAGCTTGCAGGCAGTTGGACGTCCCGCTGGTACTGTGCTCAAGTCTGTCATGCAGCGCCTCAGCGCCGTGATAAAGATTGTACAGCTCTTCTGAGGCCAGCTTGTTGAAGATCAACGAAGCTCCCTCGAATAAGGTGCAGCCTGAGCTCTCTACTCGTACCGGGCGGTTCTTCTGACTCTCTGTCTCGGTCCCTGGAGGGGTCGGTGCCGGCAGTGACGCTGCTGTCGGTCCCAGCGCTTCAGAGACCGTCGGCACTGCGCTTGGTGAGACTGCACATTCGGATTGCCAGGAGACCTGAAAATCTGCACGCAGACATACGCAGACCTCTCAAGCGCCTTTGGGAGAAGCTACCTAAGCTGTCGTCTTGCAACAGCTTCGGCCATAAATTGGTTCGTGCTATACGGCTGCCTTGCCACTAACTCAGATTACCTTCTACATTATCCTAATTAGCTGCTTGCACATGCTGAAGTCGTGCTTCGCATTGCGGCTACTACTCTGTGAGTTTTGCAGGAGGCTTTGGCACTTTCTGGTTGGTTTTTGTGTGAGTCACAGCAAGCCGCCTATGTATGGAACGTCCCCTGCCGGGAATCGCCAGCCGTGGCACACAGTGCTGCCTTCCGGAGAACATGCTTGGCGTGCCCAAGCGACATGCCGGTGGGGCGATTGCGAGGCAGCCTTATGCGACATTACATGGTCCTTGTTCAATTGCTGATGCTTCGCTGTTTTTGTGTTAGGCAGCTCGGAGTCGGAGGGCTCCGAGCTCGCCGAGCTCGAAGTCGGACGGGCCGCGGACCCAGCTGTTCGCCAGAAGTGGATTCAGGTGCACCTGCCACCAATGAACAACCCGCATCTCCAAAATCTAGTACATAAAGTCTGGCTTCAAAGCCCATGCAGACAGTCAAAGCCGCATGTAAGCCTCTCCACCTCAATCCAGCTCGAGAGCCCTTTGTGCTGTGCAAGGTAGCAGTCAGTGTTCGACTTCTCTGTCACGAATTGATACAGCACCGAGGCCACGACATAGTCGTTTGAGTGCTCTGGGGGCACTGAGCCTGGGCCTGTGTGTCAAAGCTTCGGTGCAGCGAGGCTCGCATGGGTAGAGATGGCTGCAGGGTTTTTGGATGCTGGAGAGAGCCCAAATACTATATGGGTGGTTGTCAAAATTAGGGTCCCCTTTTGGGTACCCTGAATAATAGGTGCCGTATTATAATAGGGACCCCAAAAGGGACCCCAATTTTGACAACCACCCATATTATCGCTAGATAGCTGCGAGAAGCATGTGGTTTCTGAAATTGTACCTTTACGCGTTTTTTGGAAAGACGGGCTTGTCGCTACTTGGTAGTATTATAATAAGTATCATTATTGTTCCCACTCGCCATTACTATGATTATTGCTGTTGCTATGCTTATTACTATGATCGCCATTCTTACTATCATAATTACGAATTCTCTTCTCACTAATACTACTATCACTAGCAGTTTTGCGACATTGCTATTACTGCTATAGTATTACCATCATTACTTCATCACCATAATTGATTCCCTTAACTTTCTGGATTCCTGATCAGGACGCCTCGCCCGCCGCCGCGCCGCCGAAACGAACACGGACGTGCCAGAGTGGACTTTCGAGGGCCGAGCTCCTTGGAAGCAAGGGAGGGGAGGGCTCAGGAGATCTTAGGAGGTCTTGGGGCTCTTCGGGCCCTGCGGGGTTTAGGGTTAGGGTTCAGGGGGTTTAGGTTTCAGGATTTTGGGGGCTACTGCTTCTTGGAAGGATCTGGAAAGATGCTTACCTCGTGGCAGAAGCCTTGCTTGCAGAGGTCTGGTTTCGCCCGGCGCTTGTCCAATGCGCTGCAGCAGCACCAGCGCCTCAGGTCCCTCTTGCAGGGTACTTACAGGATCATAGGACTTAGTAACTAGGGTTACAATTAGGGTAACTATTATTATAACCCCAATTAAGGTACTTATAACCCTACTTACTAAGTCCCATGGTCCCTTAAGTAGAGCGGCCGTGATGCAGATTGAGAGCACAAACCCGATGGTGTGTTTCCAGGTGAGCTTCTTGTCGCTCTTCGGCTGGACTTTGGGAGGAACTGTCTGCCTCGAGCAGCTCGGTTGAATAGATATGCTAGCTGCTAGTACGTGATTGATCCAGCTGCTGTGGTTGCACGAGGACAGTGTGTTTCCGCCGATTATCGAAGTCCCTTGACAGAGGTATGATGCCTCGCCCTGTGGTGCCTACCGCGAGGCTCTGTAGGGCTCCAAAGCCGCTCCAGAGCATGACTAGCTTTTAGGGTTTAGGGTTTAGGGTAGCCATGGATCAGTACAACAACTTTCGGCATCCGAGCTGTAGTCGTTCTCGAAGCTTGCATATGGTTTCTCGGGCTTCAGGAGGTACAGGTACAGGCGGCTGCCATCACAGCCGATCATCAGCACGAAGCCTTGGTGTAAACAGAAGGCATGGCAAGCGAGCGATGGTTCAATGATAACAATAGTGGTGATAATAGTAACACTAACAAAAAAATAATGGCAATAAAAAGTAATCGTATCACCAAGAGGAATAGTAAGAATAATAAAACGACGAAGAAGAAGAATCGTAATAACTCCCCCCCCCCCCCCCCCCCCCCCCACGAAACGAGTCTGCTCCAGGTGGTGGATATGGGTTCCCTGGTGCTGGGACGTGGCGGCGCGATTGGTCAGTTCGACTCTCGGCCTCCCCCCGGGCTGGAACTGTCCGGCTCTTGGTAGGGAATGGGGGAACGAGTTATTGGGACTACTTTAGGCAGCCTTGTAAGGGACTATCATAGAGATCCCTTCCCCCATTCCCTGCTTCGGAGAGAGCCTGCCTCACTGGAAGCGTCTTGGCCTACTGCCTTGGTATTGCGCAGGGCCGATCCAGCGACTCATCCAGCAGTCTAAATCTGCCGGTCATCTTCTGACCCTAAACACTAAACCCGAAGCTATGTCAGAAAGAGTCAGTGCACTTAAAAAAACCCGAGACTGGCTTTAGCTTTAGGTGCAGATAAAGACAAGAAACTCGCTGCGTAGCTTTCGTGCAGCCCTTGGTGCCATGTCGAAGTGCAGCGGCCGTGCACATGAAGGCCTGCGTAACCCTAAGGGTCCATGTACCCAAACAGTATAGTACCTATACAGGGACTACTTTAAGGCCAAAGCAAATAATATTCGGGTACATGGACCCCCTAGGTGAGGCTGTGCTTTTGTTTTTTGCTGTTGGCGAGGCTGGTGATGCTCCAGAGGCAAGTGCACTGAAAGAAGATCGCTTCTATACCAACGCTGCTCAGCGACATACAGCGATATGAATTCGTATTCAGTCATCAATGAGTGGGATGCCCGCGATTCTGGTGGAAGTTCGTAACGGTGCAGTCGGCGGTTCATGGTGACCAAGCAGTTAATCGAAGTCTGTGTCTTGACTATTCGAGGATGTCATCGCAGAGATCGCCACCTTGCCATCCTTTCTTCAGGACCGGAGCTGTCTTAGAGTGGGCTTTGGCATGATTCGGATGATTTGACGGAGGAGAAGCCTGCCGAGCGATGGCTGTCGGAGGTGAGGCGCAGCGATTTTTTTGCACTCAGGGAGAGCCGACATCTGGCAGGTAGTTGCCAAGCTCGCCCTCCACGGCTGCGGCCGGGAGGTGCGCGCCACCAAAGTGATCAGGGCTGACAGTGTTAGACGAAGACCTCCAGGAAGTTGCCTGGTTGCTATCCTTGCCTGTGGACACCATCAACGAGGCTCCAAGCCTTGCGGCTCTCTTCGAAAGCGGACCGTTCCACGAATGCTGTTCTTCAGGAGCTTCCGGCCTCAGCGGGAGAGGAGCAGTTGGGCAGCTGCCTATTGGAGTTGGACTTCGTGCCGAGAGGTGCCCCGCTGAGCCGCCGGAGTTTGCTCCGTTCCGTTTCGTTTTCTGTTGCGTCAGCTTGCGTTGCAAGCTGAAGCCGATGCAAGGTGCCGGCTGCAGCATCTTCGGCTCTAACTCCTCTCCGCAGCTGAATGAGAGGCGCTGCCGATGTAGGCAGGGGAGCCCTGCCCCGTCGAACCCTGCCGCTCCGAGGCGCTGCACGTTGTGCCGAGATCTCTCCGGCGTCGAGACTCATGCCCTGGTCATCGTGGAGGCCTTGCAGAACCACTGCCTTGCACGACATGCCCCCATGCCGCCCATGCCCCCCCTGCATGGCAGCCGAAGCTGAAAGTCTTGTTGAGGCCTCTCACGCTTAGTTGAACCGAGGCACGTCCTTTCTCAACGCACTGACATCATATGTAACACTGTAACACAAGCATGCATGCATGCACAGATGATGCCGGATCAGGGACTTTCCGGTGGTGGCATATGCAGCAACGCGGATCGTGTGGGCGAGGGTTCTTTTCGTTGCTGTGCTTCCGTGACTCTCCCTGCGTGCCAGGCTCGAGATGGTGATCCACACGGTGAGTACCAAGGCCTGAAAAACGGCTAACGACTGCAGCCTTTCATGTCTCTCGATGGAGAGAGAGAGAGAGAGAGAGAGAGAGAGAGAGAGAGAGAGAGAGAGAGAGAGAGAGAGAGAGAGAGAGAGAGAGAGAGAGAGAGAGAGAGAAGAGAGAGAGAGAGAGAGAGAGAGAGCGAGAGAGAGAGAGCGAGAGAGAGAGGTCCGCTCCAAGCCCCTAGCAAAGCAAAGCAAAGAGGTCCGCTTGCGGACTCATCCCCAATGGAAGGAGGGAAGGAAGAGAGAGAGTGAGAGTGAGAGAGAGATGATTCTAAATCAGTCCATTCTGCATCTCGAAGGAGAGCTTCTGCAATGGTTTTCTTGAACCCTAAACTCTCCTTAAACCCTAAACCCTCCTTTTCTCTGGCAGATGCGATGCTCATCGCCCGGAAGAACTTGCGCTTCGACTCCCTCCCTGCTTGTCAGCTCCTGGAGGCTGAGCCGAAGCCGAGATAGCTAGGGATCTATTATAAGGTTTAGGGTTAAGATTTAAGGGGCTCCTTATTATTATAATTCTAGTACAAAAAGGGTTTAGGGTTTAGGGTTTAGGATATTTATGGTACAAAAAACCACTAAACCCTAAATCTAATTATTCAGTGCCCTATATTAGAGTAGCATAAACCAGATCTCTAGGGATCTATTATAGGAGTTCAGGGTTTAGGATAGGGAGCCCTATACTATTTTGGTAGTACTATAGTACCCTTCTAAATCCCTTACAGTAAAGTTTCGGAGGTTTCCAAGCTTTGGCCGCAGTAGATCCGCTGAGGATTCCAATGCCC